TCTTTTTCCCTATTTTCCTATTTGAATATTTTTAATATTCTATTTTATCTTCTTACGTGGTTTATCAGATATATCTCTATTTGTTCCTAGGGGTTGCTCTACAGTTTATAGTATACATCTTTAACTTATCACATTCTACCTTCAAGTAATATTATATCACTTTACAAATAGTATAAAAACCTTACAACAATACACTTCCATTTCCTATGGCCTTTGTGCTATTGTCACACATTTTACTTCTACATGATACAAATCTCATATTATAAACCTCATTGTTATTTTTGTTTTAAATTATATTTTAATTCATTTAAAGAAATTAAAGAAAAATAAGAAAAATCTTTTATGTTTACTCACATATTTATTGTGTCCAGTGCTCTGCATTTTTTATATAGATCAAAATTTTCATTTAATACCTTTATCCTTCTGATCGCAGGACTTTCTTAACATTTCTTGTAGTACTGGTCTCCTAGTCCTACAAATATGTCAGCATTCACATATCTGAAAAAAATCTATGTTACTTCATTTTTGGAAAATATTTTCTTCTGAGTACAGAATTCTAGGTTAACCATTTTGTTTTGTTCAATTCTTTAGAGATTACTTTCTTGTCTTCTGGGATGCACTGTTTCTGATGAACAATCTGCTGTCATTGTTATCTTTAATCCTCTGTGTGTAGCATTTCCCCCTCTGCCTGATTTTAAGATTTTTCTCTTCATCACCACTTTTTAGCAATTTAATTACAATGTGTCTTGATGTGATATTTCTACATTTCTTGTACTTGGTATTCATTGAACATCTTGGATCTCTATATTTATTGTATTTATAAGTTTGAAAATTCTCAGCCATTATGCTTTCAAATATTGTCCATGTCTCCATATCTTTCTGATCTTGCTGTGATTCCAGTAATATATGTGCTAGGCTGCTCAATGATGTCCTATAGTTCATTGATATTCTCTTAAAGTTTCTTTCCTCTCTGTATTTCATTTTGGCTATTTTCTACTGCTCTGTCTTCAGGCTCACTAATCTTTTATTTTTTTCAGCTTTATTGAAGTATGATGACAAATTAAATAGTAAGAAAATTGAGGTACACAATATGATGTTTGTTTTTTGTTTTCATTTCAATTTTTTATTTAAATTCTAGTTAGTTGACCTATATGGTAATATTGGTTTCAGGTGTAGAATTTAGCACTTACATATAACACCCGTGCTCATTACAACAAGTGCACTTCTTAGTACCCATCACTCATCTAGCCCATCCCCTGTCCATCTCCTTCCATCAACCCTCAGTTTGTTCTCTACAGTTAAGAGTCTCTTATGGTTTGCTTCCTTTTATCTCTTTCTTTTTTCCCCTTCCCTTATGTTCATCTTACAACATAATGTTTTGATATGATCATCATATCAACCCTCAGTTTGTTCTCTACAGTTAAGAGTCTCTTATGGTTTGCTTCCTTTTATCTCTTTCTTTTTTCCCCTTCCCTTATGTTCATCTTACAACATAATGTTTTGATATATATATATATATATACAGTGTGAAAGAATTTACCCTCATCAAGTCAATTAACTAATATATTGACTACCTCAAAGGTATCAATTTACCTTTTTTAAACAAATCCTTTATTTTGCAGTATCTATTTTATTGTTAATTCCAGTTTAACATTGAATCTTTAATCTCTAGAAGTTTTCTTTGGGTCTTTTTTTATTTTTTATATTTCTCTCATTAAGTTAATGTTTTATTTTATCTTCTTGAGCATTTGGAGTATATTTATAGTGGCCATTTTAATATCCTGTCTACTAATTCTATCCCGTGTCATTTCTGGATCTCTTCTATTGACTTTTCTCTTCCTTATTGGTCATATTTCCCTGTTTTTTTTGCATGCTTGGTAATTTTTATTTTGATGTTATACACTGTGAATTTTCCATTGTTGGGTGCTGGAATTTTTTACTCCTTTACATGTTTTTGTGTTTTGTTCTTGGATGCAGTTAATTGTAAAGAGTTTAATCCTTTTGAGCTTTGTTTTTAATCTCTGTTAGGTGTGTGATCTATGACGTTCTTGGACCACTACTAAGGTAATATTCTTCTGAGGATATTATTTGATGCTCCATGTGTAAGGTCTTTCCATTATAGCTACTACTAGCTTGATGTGGCATTTGGGGATTTTTATGTCTGCTCCTTTCCAGTCGTTCTTTCTTGGTAACTTCATGTACTAATCAGTACTCAGTTAAAAGATTTGAGAAAGTTCTGCTTCATATCTCTGGAGCTTTCTCTCTGTGTAGCTTTCTTCACAGTAATCTGCCCTATGAATTTGAATCATCTTGGATTCCCCAAACTCTGAACTCTTGTCTCTACAAGTCAAGGAGACCACCAGGCTCTGTTTGGATTCCCTCTCCCTGTACAGTGGCATGGAAACTATCTAGGCAACAGGATGAGGCAATAGTAGGGCTTACCTTGTTTGTCTCCCTTCTTTCAGGGATCAATGTCCTGTACAATTTTCCTATACCTGACAACTGTTGTTTCATAGAATTTGTTTGGTTTTTCAGTAGCTTAACATTAGAGGGTAAATCTGGTCCCTGTTACTCTGTCATGGCTGGAGGTAGAAGTCCTCCACATCTCTAACTTGAAAAATAAAAAGTGAAACTATGCAAACTGTGATCAATCTGTGTGTTTAGAAGTTTAAAATGAAAAGGACCTGAGACCCACTGAGACCCACTTGTATGGATGAATACTTTTGTATCCTTCTTAGGCAAAAACCATTAAAATAAAAATGGAAGGACTTAAAATCCTAGAATTTCAAAGCAGCAAAACATCGTTTTAATCATCCAGTTCACTTCCTTCATTTGTTATATGAAGAAATGAAATCTTAGAGATGTTCAGGAACTGTCAAAGGTCATATTAGTACTGGGCAAAGGTGGGATTGAAACACAAGTCTCCCAACAAACAACCATTAAGCCATATCACCTCTATTCTGCCCCCAAAATAACTATTTACCAAGGCCATTAAGTACCATGTATCAGTACTTTGTAAGCATGATTTCAAACTTCCTGACAACTCTAGTAGTGTCAAGGTAGGCATTACTATATTGCCATTTTATAGATGAATAACCTGAAGCTCAAACAGTTTAAATAATTTGCCCAGTAGTTCTCAAAGTGTGGCCCTTGAAACACCTCTGGGGGGGTATCCTAGGTCAGACCATTTTATGATAACATTAAGAGGTTGTTTATTTATTTATTTATTTATTCTTTTAATCTTAGTGCATGTTGACGCTTGCACTAAAGATTTAAAAATAAAGGTGGGCAAAGGACTTGCACTTTGGCATGAAGCAAGGCAGTGGCATCAAACTATATTAGTAACTATTGTTTTTGTCACTGTGTATTTTTAGTTTATAAAAAAAAAGCAAGTTTCAAAAAAAAAGCAAGTTTCACTTGAGAATGTTCCTAATGAAACAATGTAAGTTATTAATTCCATTAATTATTGATCCTTAAGTAGACACCATTTTTTTTATTTCATGTGACAAAAAGGGAAGTACACTTAAGGTACTTCTACTACCTCAAGGAAAAACACTTGTATGATTGAGTTGAGCTGAACTTGATTTTTTCCCCATAGAACATTATTTATACTTGAAATAATAGTTGACAGACAAATTATGGTTAATTATACTTGGTTAAGTGGTGGACATTTTCTCAAGAATAAACAAAATGACCCTACCACTTCAAAGAAAGCAATTGACCATATTTGTTGCCAATCATAAGATAAACTTTTAGAGAAGAAATTAGAATTTTCTAAAACTTGTATCCTCTACCATGAACTTGACAGCTTCTTGAAGAATACATCAAAGCTTTCCTGATTAAGTTGGTAAAGATATTAACAAATATGATTTTTTAGTATTTTATAATAATTAAATGTGTCAACATTTGGAACATCTACTTAATTCAGTGAACAAATATTTTCAATATGACCAAAGCCACAAAATCATTGGTAAAAGACACATTCAAACTGTGAGATAGAAATGTATTTTAATGTAACAGAATATGAAAAGGTTCACCCATATAGTTTCAGATTCTACATTGCAACCAACTTTTAAGAAACTATCTTTCATTAAGATTATTGTATCAAATAAGATTATCCAGAAATTATCTGAAAAGGCTAGTAAGTACTTTTCCACATTTCAACTCTGTATCTGTGTGAATCTGTGTTTTCTTCATATACATCAACTAAAACAGGTTGTGACAGATGCAGAGACAGTAAGAGAATCCAGCTGTCTTTTATGAAGCCAGAGAATAAAGAGATCCATGAAAGTGTAAATAATGTCACTCTTCTTACTAAATTTTTTGGAAAAAATTTTTTCACAAAAATGTTTTTCTGTTAACATGTAACAAGTTTATTTTAAAAGAATTAGTAAATAATTATTTCCAATATTTTCAGTTTTAATTTGAATACAATAACTATCAACAAACATAATCTCTAGAGAGTTCTCAATAAATTTTCAGAGTGTAGGATCCTGAGTTCAAAGTGTTTGAGAAGTAATGATCTTAAAGAACACTCCTGGGAAGTGGTAAAGCCAGGTCTCTTGTCTGTCTGGCTCTCCAACCCATGTTTTTTCCATGGCACAATGTTTCCTCCTTACCCAAAAGTCTCATTAGTATCAAAATGGGAAATAGAATTGGGCCCCTAAAGCTTTATTTTGCAAGGGGCTTTTTTTTGTAATATTTAAGTTTTTCAATATTCAGATATTTTTCTTTGCTGAAACATGAGTTTCTTGTCCTAAAACTTTAAGACTCCATTAGGGACTCAAGATGATTCTTTTTTGGCTGTCAAATAAAAATGAAATGATGATGCTCAGCAGTCAGCTGATTCCAGAAGTAACAATATTTTGAGTTTTATATCATATAAAAAGTCCAAATAGTTGGAAGATATTCTTTATTAGATTTTTAAAAACAGAAATGATTCTGGTTTGTTTTTCAGGCTTGTTTTTCATCTACTTGGTGCTAAGCCCTAAGAAATAAATTTATTCTTTGTGGGGAACAGCTTTGCTTGGGGACATTTTCAAAAGGAAATCTTGCATGCCTCTTCGCAACACTGCGTTCTCAGCAACCTCTCTCAGGCTTCTGTGTAGCTTCTCCATCTCCTTGTACTCACTTTTAACATCTATAGCAGAGCAGAAAAGCATGCATCAGGAGTTAGTGTCCTTTTCAGAAATGTCCCCAGAAAACAAATCTCCTAGGGATCCCATATGATCTGGGTCACTTGTCCCAGAATGTGATATCTGGAACGGAACTTTGAGGTCAGATAGTCTGATCAATTTATTTTATAGAAAAAAACCTGATCAAACTGTCATTTTTGCTCTTACCTTAAGGCTTATCTCAGTATAGGGGTCGTCCTCAAAAGAAACACAAACCTACTCACAAAAAGATCCAGGAATTCACTGAGTCCTTACTAAGTCTTCACAAGAGCTCAGTGGAAGGCGATACAAAGCCCACCACATAATAAACCTCCCCTAAATCCTCTCCAGGTTTTTCTCCCCTTTCCCTGATCCCTGTGTTCCCAACAGTTCTCTTTCTAAGTGAATTTGCTCTGTTTTGGCCTCTCGGGTTTTCACCTCATGAACTGCAATCAAATTATATCCTTATGATGGTGAATTTTATGTGTCAACTTGTCTGGGCTATGGTGCCCAGATATTTGGCCAAACATAACTCTGGATGTTTCTGTGAGCATATTTTTGGATGAGATTCACATTTAAATCAGCAGACCTTGAGTAAAGCAGACTGTCCTCTACAATGTGGGTGGGCCTCACATAATTAATTGAAGACCTGGCCAGATCGAAAGGCTGGTTTCCTCCAAGCAAGAGGGAATTCTCCAGCAGACCACCTTTAGACTTCATCAGCAACATTAACTCTTCCTTCTTCTACAGCCAATTGCTTTGGACTGGAACTCAACTCTTTCTCACGTTGCCAGCCTATTGGCATCCCCTACCAGATTTTGGATTCCCCAGATCTTCACATTCATATGAGCCAATCCCTTAAAATAAATCTGTCTCTCCATCTATCTATCTATCTATCCACACATATTTATATCCTACTGGTTCTGTGTCTTTAGAGAACTCTGACTAATACAGTCCCCTTTGAAGGTACACTTCAGACTGACCTTGGGGTTGGTTCTAGCATTGCTCCTGGCTCTCCAATCTACCTTGGCTCTACATGCTCCATGTCATTATCCAGACTCACCCACCCTGAGATTGACCAGCAATGGGACTCATGACCAAGAAAGGAATTAGAACCTTGAGTCTATTTGTCTTATTCCTGAATTTAGAAAGTTCTCCACTAGTTGTGTACCAAACTTGACTTAAGCAGTGCTCTACTGATGGATATTTGAGTTGTTCCAATGTTTGACATCACACTTCCCTGAATAACACTGTCCATGTGCCATTCTGCTCGTGTATGAGGATACCATGGGATAAATTCCCAGAAGTAGGATTTCTGGGCCAAAGGATATGTGCATTTTAATTTTCCTAGAAATATCCCGATTGCTTTTTGTGCCAGTTAGCATGCTGCAGTTTACCCCAGGAGGCATGGAAGAGAGATGGTTGCATGCAACAAGGCATGGGCAGCTGGTAATGCATCCCCAAGCTTCTGGTAGATGAAAGGAAACCTTTCTCCGCCACCACCAGAAAATGAGGCTTTTCATGAAAAGGTATCTACTTCAAAGAATGGGTAATGGAGACCACAGAGCGGAGTTAGCAGTTTGAATTTGCCACTTTCCAGTTATGAAAAGTCCTGGAATGCATCATCTAATCTAAGTCTCTGTTTCTTCATGTGCAAAATGAAACAATAACATCTCCTGTGAGATGAGGGAGAAGTCTATGAGATGCTGCACACATATCCTGAAGTATAATGCATGGTCTCTGGCAGATGCTCCAAAATACAAAGGGCAGGACAGTCATAATTCTCTCCATTCCATACTTTGGAAAATTCTTCCTCTTCATTGCTTTAAATCCAGCAAAGAGCAACCACAGCAAAGGGTGTCTGCAAGGTCACTGCTTCTGCAAATGTATTTACCTGCAAGCTCCTTGTAGAGACCATCTCCCTGGGATGAAGCAAGGGTCAGCATGGTGGTGATACTGCCCTTCACCTTCTCCGAGATTCCATTCTATACAACAAAGCATGGTCATTCTGTTAGGATGGCACAGCCCAAGGGAAAGCTTAGCTTTTGAAAGGGACCCCAACTAACCCCCCAACCAGAGTGTGTACAGACTGAGTTGCCAGTATAAAAGTTTATTCCAAGGATGGGCCACCTTTAGAGTATACTGAATGGCTCAGGAGTCAACAGGGCATCACTTTTTTTGGGGGGGTGTCCCACTTGTCTCAGCATCTCCTTTTCTTCCTATCAAAACTCATGTGGGATTGGACCTCTGGTGCTGACCAACTGAGTCAGGAACTAAGGAGATCTAATAGAGGTGGGAGTCAGGGGTAGAGAACAGCAATCGCAGAGATGGAAAAGGAGGAAAATTGCCGGTCACTAACCCATCATCCTATTGTTCATTTAGTCATTGGGTATGTTTATTAAGTACCTGCTTTGTGCAGCACACCATACTTGACACTCTTGATTCTTTGTCCCAACTTCCTGAGAAATGTCTTCTTTGTTATCTCAGCTCTGTGACCAATGAAAAAGCTTTTCCCTCTTCTAACCATCTCTTGACTACCTTTGAAAAATACTTGACTCTCCTCTAGCCTGACACAGCCTCATTTTAAGCCTGGATCTCTTGACTCTGGCTTTTTTCTTCAACACATCAGGCCAAGAGCCCTAAGCTCTAGTCCCACATCTAGCTGTGAGCCTTGAGCTAGTAACACAGGCTTTAGCCTCCTTGTCCATAAGGTCACCAAATGGGGATGCTCTGTGGCCTTGTCTAATTCCAACTTCCTCCATTTCTGTCATTTAAGATGCATTTGTACATGGCCAATATATAAATCACATTTTTTAGTGGAATTGTTTTTAGGGGTCTCTTTAAGGGCCAATTTCTATATATCCAATGGGGACTGGATGCTGTAGGGGTTGGCCAGTTTTCTGCAAGTATTTGTAGACTTTGATAATATGTTATTTTTTTTATAATATGTTAAATGACAGAGAGTAAACTGCTATTGGCAAACAAGATGCCTCTTAGCCTATTCCAAGAGAAATTATATGCTTCATATTGTGAGGAAAGGTATTTTTCAAAACTGCGGTGGGGTGGGGGGAGGGGAGGGCACAAGGTTGAGTGGAAGCAGGTTGGAAGCATTTCAGGAAGAAGGCTGATTCAGGGGTGAATGGAAAGAACAACTAGCCAGGTTCCTTAGATGCTTAGGCAATGGTCTGCTAAGTCAGGACTGAGGTAGAAGAATTTGGAAATGCACATGGCCAGGGAGGGGCTAATAGTGGCTTGGACTAAAACAAAGAATTTTTATTACTTGGGAGGGTGGTGGCACACAAAGAGGCCCAGAACTGAGACAAGGTGGCCCAAGTGTACTTGATGGATGCTTTAGGTTCAAGGAAACTGTTAGGAACTGTTTTCTGAGATAAACAGAATTAAACTTAAATCTATGCTAGGTGTCATAACTGCTTGATCGATAATAGTTTGTTGGCATTGATTTATTGATTGATATTTTACATAGATTAGACATTCTCATTAAAAAAAAATCTCTCTAGAGATTATACTATTGTCAGAGACCCTGGTTATCAAGTCCCAAATCCTAGCCATGCAGCTTAGTAGCTATGTGGCCTGTTGCCACACCTCTCTCTCTCTCTCTCCCTCAGTTTTCTTATCTGTAAAATGAGAACAAAAGTCCCTACCTCACAGGCTTGCTGGGGATTAAATGAGCTAATGTATGTCAAGAGCTTAGGACCCCCATCTGGCTATTACAGTTGTTCTACTGGTGACTTGGTAAAGACAGGTGAGAGAGAGCAGGAGTGGCTGCATTTCTGAAGCCACAGCCCCACAGAAACTACACCAGCATGTAGTGGCAGTGAAGGGAGAATGCCCAGTGCCAGCTGGCCTCTTTCCTGGCATCGTGGGCATTGGCTGGGCCCACTCTGCAGAAGGCATCAGCTCCATTTGGGTCCAAATGACTACTACTTCTTTCATCTTTCTGTATGGGCTTCTTTCACCCCAGGAGGCCCAACTGGAATTCAGACAATGGATGTAGAATACCTTCAGTTGCTGAAATTGGTGTTGCATCCTTTCCTGAGCCCTTTCAAACATGCCCTCAGCCACTTGCCGGTCCACCCCTCTTCTGATGACATCTTTCATTCTCTCACATGCTTTCTTGCCAGTGATCTGAGCTGCCTCTGGCAAAAATGATAGCCACAGTCACACTGCAGCAAGGACTTGCTGAGAAATCTTTAGCATCAGAAAGCAAGGCAGGCAAACAAAAAATATTTTATGTATATATACACAGACACGTAATACGATACATACAAACACACACATATTTATATATGTTGCATCATTTTCCATGCAGTAGGAATTGTTTAATAATAGCATGATAGAAAAAAATCAACACTCTCAATATTTGGATAACGATCATTCAGAAAATCTAATGAATGAATTAAGCAGAAGTTTACAAAATTCCAATGCCCCCCATCAGAAAAATCAATGGGACTACCAAGATGAAAAGGAGTTGGAAAGTGAGTTTACAAATACTTAAAGGGAATAAGAATGAGAATTGGGTAAGGGATTTTATAGTTTAATTAGCTGAGATGCAGCAAGGAGAGGAGAAGCGAGGTGAATAGATAAAGAAAGGGTGGGTAGAAAGCACCAGAAACACACAGGAAAAAAAAAAAAAGATTCACGGGTCACCTCTCCCCACACCCTTGCAATTACTTGGTTTTCAATTTGCGGAGTAAGAGGATGAGAGGGACTCAGGATGCAGGGCCAAATACTACGAGGGGAAAGCTGAAGAAAAGGATGCTGAAGTAGTTGACAGAAAGACCCCAGAGGAAGTGGATAGGTCGCCCTCCAGAGTCCCCACCTTCGTAACAGGGCTTGAGGTCGTTCTGAACAGAGGTGGTGAGAGATTCATAGATCTTCCTTTTTTTTCTGAAGATATAATCCTCCAGGCCTCCCAGAATGGCACTTATCTGCAAATCCGTGTTAACAAAAGGTCATTTGTGACAATTCCTTCGCTAGAAGCAGGTCAGGTGTGCCCCTGTGTGATCACCATTTCCCTCTGCCTTATATTATGCTTGGCTATCCACGTGTCCTTTCTTCAACTAGGCTGTGAGCTTCTCATAGGCAGGAATTTTGTCTTAAGCATCTTTATACCCCAAAGTGCTTCCTACAGCACTTGGCACCTACAAACGACTTGAATATTTCTGAGTTGAACTCAGGCATGTGCAAGGTGCTGGAATTGGCTCTTTGGGAGAGGTTGGGGTGGGGGGGCACAGGACAGTTCTCTAGTGCTGCCATGTAATTCAGGCTGGGCTTGTGCTATGAGCTTAATAACTGTACCCCCCCCACCGCCGCCCCGCCCAAATTAGTACGTTAAGATCCTAATCCCCCAGCTGATGGCATTAGGAGATGTGATCTTTGGGATATGACTGGGTCATAAGGAGGGAACCCCCATGATTGGGACTATTCCCCTTACAGAAGAGATCTAGCAAATTGCCTTGCCCCTTCCACAATGTGATGTGACAGTGAAAAGACAGTCATCCATGAACAGGGAAGTGGACCCTCACCAGACACCAAATCAACTTGTACCAATTGACCTTGTACCTCCAGCCTCCTATGAGCAATAAATTTCTGCTGTTTATAACCTACCTAGTTTATGATATTTTGTTCAGCGTGAGCAGAGTAGGACAGTCTAGAGGAAAATGGATCACAGACAAGAATCTTGACTATTCAAAATTTTAAAATGATCTGCAAAAAATGACACTTCTTCAAGCTTCACTGCTTTGGATAATACTTCATAATATTGGCAAAAAATGATAGAAGGTTAGTGGATGTGTTACAAGTGGGTTCAAATGTTTGTACATCTAAGGGTTCCTTGAAGATTCTTCCTGGAAACTTAATTTCCTTTCCAACCTCAGGACTCACTGCCAGTTGCCTTGCGGTGTCACAGAGCTGGCCCAGTGTCCCATATCCCCACAGCTGTCTCAGGACTACTCTCACCTGCCCCATCCCACTGTACTTTGTGTCTACAGCATCTGCTATGAGACATGCCCAGACCTCAACACTCCAGAGGAACAAGGGGAGGAGAGACACGTAACACCTCCAAAATCCTGCTGGGAAGAAAGCCACTGCCCCACCTCATACCCTCTTCCCTTTACAAAGATCTCACCTCCTGGATAAGGAAACTCTTTTTGTAGCTATCATATTTCCATCCATTTCTTACTCCCATTTCCATCATTTTCTCCTGTAGACTGTGCTTAAAAGCTTCTATATGAGGCAGCAAAGTGGAACCAGTGGGCTTTCCAGCCCTATGAAAGAAACAAAATAAAATGTTAAGAGACAACAGTAGCTACTGTGAGTCTAAAACAAAGAGGAAACTAGCTGGTCCCCTTTTATTCGCTTTTAAGCCCAGGGGATAAGAACAGTTATCAAATTCCTATTGTGTGCTGGGCACTGTGCTGTGCCAGGACCTGGACACCAAAACCTAGGAAACCAGTGCAGTGATTCCCATTTTACAGACTAGAAGACTGAGGTTCAGAGGGTTGCTGATGTGTGCACAGCCACACAGCTAGTAAATGGAAAAGCTAGGCTTTGGACATTGATCTGTTCAACCTCAAAAGTCAGTCTTCCCAGGTATCTGGGTGGCTCAGAGGTTGAACTTCTGCCTTTGGCTCAGGTTGTGATCCCAGGGTCCTGGGATTGAGTCCCACATCAGGGTCCCTGTAGGGAGCCTGCTTCTCCCTCTGCCTATGTCTCTGCCTCTCTGTGTCTCTCTCATGAATAAATAAATAAAATCTTAAAAAAAAAATCAGTCTTCCCACTGCCAGGAGGTTTCCCTGGAAGGGTGGGACTTGAACTACATCTTAAAAGATGCATAAGATTTGGGGGAGTGAAAAGTAGGAGTTATCCCCCATGGGGACAACATAGTGAATGAAATTTCAGAACATCCTAACAGTAAGAAGCAGCGGGTTATAGAGGAGAGGGCATAGGCATGAGCTAAGGGATACTGGAAAAGCTGCATGAAGTCCTCTCAATCTCAGCTTATACACTTATAAATAGACAGAAGCTACTTCAGAGGGTTGTTGAGAGGATCTGATGAAATCCTGCATGCACAGTGCATAACATAGGTCCTGGCACATCTCAGTTGCCTTTTGCTACCCTCCAGGCTGGCTGAAGCAGGGGGTTGGCATGGAGCAAGAGGATGAGGAGAGAGTGGAAAGGCCAATTGGAGGCAGGTGGACTGTCTTGAATGCCATTCTTTTTTTTTTTTTTAAGATTTTATTTATTTATTTTAGAGGGGGAAGGGGCAGCGGGAGAGGGAGAGAGAAAATCCCAAGCAGACTGCCCGCTGAGCACAGAGCCCGAGGTGGGGTTCACTTGAGATCACAACCTCATCCTAGATCAAGAGTCCGGATGCTTAACCAACTAAGCCACTCAGTCACCCTTTGAATGCCATTCTAAGGAATTTGGAGTTTATCCTATAGACTTGTAAACAGAGGTAGGGTGGACGGAATGGCATGATCCCAAGGGAGTCTAAAGGAAGATGGAGGAAGGAAAGGGGAAGAGTAAGAATCCAGCAAAAGTAGAATGGTTCAAACAGCAGCAGCTGGTGAAACTCCAGAGGCAAAGGAGGGAGACGGAGGTGGTGGGGGGAGGTGTAGGCTCTGGCACTGGGGGATTAGGAGAGTTAGCTTTGTTGACAGAGAAGAGGACTAAAGGTCAAGGATGGAAGGAGGAGACACCTTGAAGCTCACACAGCTAGTAAGTGAGTGAGCACGTGGTATATCAAAAACAAACACATCGGTCAGCCACTTAGCCTTTCTACTTTCAGGAAAATTGGTAAAGGCCATGTGTTTGCTTAACTCCACACTCTCCAACCAAAATAACCTGCCCTGGGCTCTGATCCACAAGAAAATGTATCCCTTGCCACATGTATGAGATATTTTAAAAATACCGGGAATCATAATATTAGTCTGAAAGCAACATCTCCAGCTGCACTCCAGGTCACCATGAGAAAATAGGTAAACCAAACCAAGATGGCTTTTGTGTTTTGCCAGAGACTAAACTTTCCTTCTTAAGTTGCAAGCTACCCTTTACACATCCAGATCTAAAGTACAAATTCTTCTAACGATGAGACTCTGGCCCAATGCTCTTCAGATGTTTGTTCACAAAGGAGCAAGAGAAAGGGTCCTTTACCTAAAAATGCCTCCAAAAACGGGATCAATCTGGTCATAGATGGGCTGAGTGATGGCTTCATTCAGATCTATTCTTGCGAGAGTCCTGGAGGCATAGATGCCATTTTTCAGGCAAACAGCTTTCAGAGTCTGGTGGAAGCCCTGGTTTCCTCTGCTCCTCTAGGTAATTAAACAATACATTAGGAGAGTTAGCACACATTAACTAGAATGTCACAAGGTCAGAATTATACTGCCTTTGGCCAAAGGCTATGTATGACCAAGAGTCACAGGGAAGAGTAGGGACAACATGATCTTTTAACATAGGCTTAAACTGGACAGAGGGCACAGTAGTCATGCCTCAAGTTGGCAACTCCCCTGCCCTGGCTTCCAGAGTGCCCTGTGCTGCTTTGATCACAATTCTCCTCATATAGTTTATATTTGTCTGTTTATTCATCAGGCTTCTATACCGGAAGAGCAGCTTGTTGTGAGCAGGCACGGTGTCTTATCCATCTTGATGTTCTCATCATCTGGCAACAGCGTAAGTAGTCTGTGATAAATATTTGTTAAAGGAGCAATTTTTAAATGAAAATGTGCTATGACCCTACTGAGGCTGTATGTTTCAGATTTTCCAAGCATACCCCAAGGTTTTCTTATACTTTTTGTTAAACATCTAATGAAATGTAATGTTATTTATACATCTTCATGATATATTTTTACCAGAGAAATAAATTAACAAGTCAGAAGCAAAAAAATATGATGAAGCAAGAGCCACGTGAAACGCTGATAAATCTCACCCAGATGGTGATCCTTAGTAAAGGGAATAAAAATATATTTGCACCAACCAAAATTTCAGTAGTGGTCATTGTGATCAACAATATATGCTTTAAGGAACTCTGTTTCAAGTGCATGGCTGTGTCCCATGATATAGTTGGCACATACCATATATATATATATATATATATATATATATATATATATATATATATTTTAATATTCTGTCCTTTTCATTTAATTTTATAACATCAGCATTTCCTCAATTCATTGTAAGTATCTTAAAAAATGATTTCAAGATCCATAAAATATAATATGTGGATGTAACCTAATTAATTTTACCACTCCTGTATTTTTGCACATTTTAGGTTATGTTGCTATGTTACATAATGATATGATGTCGGCATATAAATGTTTGCCCACATTTCTGATCACAAAGGAAAGTGGCCTATCAAAGACACCCCAGACATGTTTGCAGTCACAGAGAAAAGCGCCATTGCAGAACTGATGAGATGAGACAGTTCATGAGACAGCATCCTAGTGAAGGCCTCGAGATGGCTGAATTGTTCCTTCTCTTCATGAACAAACAGTCTCAAAGGAATGGTCTCCACTTTGTGTCTCCACCTTCTCAGCATGCACTTACTGACTTTTGGTGATCTGGAATCTTTTACATCATGACTTGGTTACCTATTGCTGTGAAACAAATTACCCCAAACCTAATGGCTTAAAACAACAAACATTTATTTAGTACTCACTAGTTTTCTGGGTCAGGAATTCAGATACGGCTTAGCTGCTGTTTCACTGTTCACTAGATGGCCACACTGTGTGGTCAAGGTTAAAAGGCAGGTAAACGTCACCCAGAGAAGAGATCAGTGCATGCATGACTCAAGGTCCCCAAGAACACACAATATGAATACTAGGCTCAGGTGGTACAGCATTTACTTACAACAAGAGGAGAAAAAGTATGGGCAGGATCCAGTCCTTTGCAATGCATGGGTCCCCTATGGCCAGCAGACCCACTCTGTAGCCAATGCAGGCAAGCGTACCTGCACACATTCCACATTGTGTGCAGTGGAAGGACCCAAGCCCTCCCACATAGGATCTGAAATACAGAAACCTGGGAGCTTGCCTAAGGGCCTTGGATGCATAAAACAGAGGATAATATTCCCACACAAGGTGATAAGTCCAGCACAAGCTGAAGGCTCTTTTATCTCTCAGTAAGAAAGTATTCCAGGTCCAAAGCGCATTCTTATATGGCCAAGTAGGGGCGAGGAGGCAGGGGTCAAAAGACTACATGCATGGGCTGACCTTTCCCAACAGCTGGCCTGTGCTGGCTCAGGGCTCCTCTGTGAGGCTCTGTCAAGTGCTAGCTAGCGGTAGTTACTTGAATGGGGCTGGCGGATCTGCTCTCAAGAAGGCTCACTATGGAGCTGGCAAGGTGATGCTGGCTATTTGTGGACAAAACTTCACTACTTTTATGAAGATTTAGACATTTTAAACTAGGTAGCTGGTCAGCAATTACAATAGTTTGCAGAGTGCAATTAGGAAAGTACAACAGGCTAGTGCAGGGTTTGAGCATCCTGGCTTTGAAGTCAGACAGATCTGCGGTAGATGTGGATCCCATATGCAACCACAGAAAGTTGTTCAGCCTCTGTAAGGCTGTAAAATTAAAATAATAAGAGTGTTTACCATTCAGGATTGTCGTGAGGACTGAATCGGGTAATGCATAGTCTGTGGCACCAAGGTAAGTATTTCATCCACATTTGCGGAATGCATGAGTGAATGCATGCATACATACTACGTTCATGGACACTCAGACACTCACCAGCCACAGTGAAGGTACTCCACCTCTCATTCTCCTGTGTCACAATTCTAAGGGCCCCCTCCAGTGACCCCAGAATCATTCCCACTTCTTTACTCTTTTAGCCCACAGAAATGTAGAGCTTTGTTACACTACCTTCTCACTGCTGGCATTCTAACATTCCAACTCATATTAAAACAATGGTAACAACATGCACTATTCCAAGCTCTGAGACTTCTGCATCCTCTTTGTCACACGAGAAGTGTTGTTCGTCACTCCTTACTCTTAACAGGTGTCATAGAGTGAACTGTATCCCTCTGAATTGACATGTTGAATCCCTGAGCCCAGATGTGACTGTATTTGGAGAATAGGGACTTTGGGAAGGTAATTAGGGTTAAATGAGACATAAGAGTAGATCTTTAGTCTATTGGACAAGTATCCTTATAAGAAGAGAGGGGGGCACCAGGGAAAAGATCATGGGAGGACATGGCTAGAAGGTGGCCATTTGCAACCCCAAAGAGGACCCAGGAGAAACCAACTTTGAACTGCCTTCATCTTGGGCTTCTAACTTTCACAACTGTGGGAATAAATATCTGCCCTTTAAGCCACCCAATCAATGGTATTTTATGTGATAGCAGTCTTAGCAAACTAATGTGAGAAGCCTCTTTTTTCACCCATTAGGCTTAGATAAATAGGGTCTGGCACTTACATTTTTATCCTTTAGATACCTCATATAAGTAATTAAAAGATAAAGCAACAATTTGCTTGTTTAGCAAGAGTTACAAATGTTTCCTTACTACGTAATCTAATTAACATTTATATCAACCCTGTAAGATAGGTAGGGCAAGTATTCAGCATCTCATTTTCAGAGGAAAAACCCCACAAGCTTAAGTGGGTTTAAGGCCTCACCCAGGGCTACAGAGTGCATGATGGGTAGAGCTGGCACTCAAAACAAGATCCTCAGCTCCTAAATTCCAACTGTTTCCACTGAACCATGTGCTCTCTCCTGGGTCCTTGAAATGCACAGTTGGACAGTTCCTTCTGTGTGCTTTCCTGTATACAATTTTCACTCTCTCTTGCTCTCTTTTAGCTCACTATTTCCTTCAGAAGCTGTGGAAGAATGTAAAAAGAGCTTGGAGATAAGGCAGATGTCACTGTCAGCTTCCCCCTGGAAAGGGTCACTCACCACCAGACATGCCCCAAGGATCCGTCGGTAGGAAGTCCTGGCATTTCGGACTCCTTCTTGCAGAGGCTGTTCTATATGGGCAAAGCACTGGTCAATGGCCTTCTCTAGCAACTGTATCTTCTCTTCTACAAATCTCCGCAGGCCACTCATGTGCAAGTATTCATTCTAGGGACAAAGGCCATAAGAAGCATGAGGTCACCCTCTCTCTAAGGGCACTTTCTCTTCAAACTTTGCTTCCTTTATGCTTGTCTAGAACACAAGATTTAGCTTGAGCTTATCACCCTCAGTTGACTTCTTTCATCCTACTAAAGCATCCCTTGGTGAACAGACCTCCTTAAGATTTGTGGGTTGGAGAACACAATATATATGTACCTCCTGCAACTTACTTTAAGTGTCTAATCCATTAGGGTATTTGAGGGAATAACTAGTCAAATAAACTCCAATTGCCATTAAAACAGATTTTTTTCAAAAAAAAAAAAAAACAAACAAACAGGGTTTTTGCAATGATATCTGATTCTATAAAAATTTAGTGGGCTTTGACCATGCACAAAGCAGTTTTTGAGAATAGCATTTCTCAAAATTTAACATGTGTACAAATCATGGGGAGAGTTTGCTCAAATCCAAGGACCTGATATTCTGTATTTCTAGCAAGCACCCAGGTGATACTGATATTCTGGGCCCTGGACCACACTTTGAAGAACAAAGCTATAGGACACAATAATAAAGATGTGGTCCTTTCTTCAAAGGAGAATATAGTCTAGTCAAGGAAGAAAAGATCTACTCAATTTATACAAGGGAAAAATAGCCTTGACCTCTAGAGTCCAAACTGGGAACTCTGTAGAGTTGTTCCCTATGTGAGAATCTTGGGGGAATCTCACAATGCCTGCAGCAGATAGAAGCCACATTACTTAACTCAGCACTCAAAGGCCCCACATTTCCAGGACTCAGCCAATTTCTCCAATGCCCCCAGCTGTTTCCCCAAAACATCACCCCATCCCAGGGTAGCTTCTCCTGAACTTGCTACCATTCTCCATCCATGTGTCATCCCTTTTGTGACCCCATGTCTTTGCACATGCTTCCCATCCTTCCAGACAAAGCTCAAAAGCCACTCTCCATGTGATCACTTTCTCTGACTCCCCTGGGGCATTGGGGCTCTCTTTCCTGTGTTTCCACTGAATTTTGTACACCCCTTTGTACAGCCTTCCTCTTGCTGTGCTATGTCTGTCTCATCCCCTGGACTAGGAACTTGCTAAAGGATTGTGGACTGTACTATTCATTTTTGTTTATTCTGAGACATGGCACAGAGTGTGTAGTTGATAAACATTTTGGAGTGAATGAACATTGCACAGGGTGTACAGCTGATAAACGTTTTAGAGTGAATGAACACCATAGAGAAACTACTAGATAATGTGAGCTTTTAAATTCTATTCCAAAGCTAATGACAAAGATTGTTCTCAAATTGATACATGACCTTCTATAAATGACTTAGCTTTTCTAGATCTCGATTGCACTGAAGTGAATGAGGCTGAATGTTCCTGAAAAGTCTCAAATTCCCACACTCTGCAAGATTTAGAGTACATGAGTTTTGGAATTTGTGGAGACTATTCAGCTTTAGGTGTACCCTGTGAATTCTCATAGGTTTTCACTATGAGAATTATATATGCCATACTTTTCTTTCCGAGTGCCCTCTGGATTCTTCTGAGTTTGTAGTGTCACTGGTGATCAAAAGGAAATAAGGAAGATGTCGCCAACAGAAACTCTATGGGCAAGATTCTCACAAAGTCACACATTCCACAAACCATTGTTAAATAAACAAAAGTATAAGGGCAGGTCTGGGAATAAAAAACAATAAGAAAGGGAAAATCTTACATCTACTATAAATAAATGCAGGGTTCATTTGACATTGAGATGTCATAATTAACTTCCTACTGATTCATAAAAATAATGACTAGATTCCTATTCACTTAGAATTGCTAAATATTCAGACTCTTTTTTTTTGGTTTGAGTCATAATCTTAAAAAATGATCAATCACCACATGTTTAGGTTTGATCTATTAAAAAAGCAAAGGAAATAACAAAAACTCTTGCTTTCCAACTTTCCATCAATGAACTAAGATTGAGACCAATATCTGAGGTCAAAGGATTCTGATGAAAAATGCTGGCTAATGCCTATGTAAAGGGCTACCCCAGAAGTGCCACCCAGACCCTTCATCTGTGTATTCTGTTGCTACAGCCTGGCTTTGAGAATGGCACTGAGTTTCCACATGGGCCACTTTAGCAGAGAAGAGCACAAAGGGCAGGCACTTCTCAGTTTAATTGCAAAATGCCTTGTCCTTGTGTTTGTAAAACAAACCAACCACACAGAGCACCACATCTGATTTGTTTTCCACCAGCACTTCCAAAAGCAATCTTTTACTGGGCAGTGAGGCAATTTTCACTCTGAAGAGCATTTTCAGGAAGTTAGAAGGTCAAACGCTTCCCTGGTATTTCAGAGTGCAAAGTTAAATTAGAAAATCTCAGGTTCCAGGAGCTTATTGTTGTTGTCATTGTTTCTCACAGAAGTAGGCCAAATCAAAGCATAAGAAATATGATGAAAAAGACAAGGAACCTTGCTCAATATGTCACTTTTATATAGAATATTTAAATGCAGACATTTGACCAAAACTGCAAAGACCATCTATAGTTGGCATTGCTTCCTTACCACATTGAAGCCAGGTCTCCATTATCTGCCTCCCCTGACCATGCCACAGGGCCAGCCCAAGTGTACCTTCCCATATTCTTGGGACTAGCCCCTTAAATGTTCATAGAGCCCTACTGGTTCACTTTCTTTGCTCCTTCCTTTTTGGTATAACAAAAAATGGACAATTTGGTTGGGAAAACCTGATGGTTGATAGTAAGTAAGATAGTAAGGAAATAAACACCAACCAAATGAGAACATGCAAAGCTATTTATTTATTAAGAGCTTGCTATGGCAAGAGAGTCAGCCACCATCACTTGTGTTTTGCAGAGAGTCAAAGGCAGCCAGAGGAGTGGGAAGGCTTCAACCATGCCCTCATCAGAGGCCACTGGCATAGGGGTTGCCTGGTGGGCTAACTAGAAGTGAAGGTCCCATGTGTTCCATTAGGGTGCATGTTTGGCTTCTCTGGTTGGAAGCAGGGGTGATGATTAGGGAAACCATCAGTTATTAACCAATCAGCCCATTTGGGGCTGATTGTTACAGACATTATTGCTTAGCTTCTTGGATTATTACTAGAGATAGCAGTCTGACTCCCTAGGAGTCTAAGTTACAGCAGACTGCCCTCCTGAGCTGTTTATGGTAAATAAGTAGTTGGTTTCCTAGGCAAGTTGCTGCAGGCTGTGGGTCAGAGTTCTGTTTTAACATATGATTATGCATTTGTATATTCATTCCTCACAAAGAAGCAGTGCAGTTGGTGATTGATTGCAACACCAAATTTTTTCTCCAAAACTCTCCTCCACCGCTAATTTAGCAGTCAGTCCATCTTATTTTAGGATAAAAAAATACATCACCCATCAAAGAGATAAATGTTTCCATTATTATGAGAAGAGTAATTTGGAACTGGTCATTCAGAAGGCCTGCATTCCAGATTGTGAAGATATATATCTAAGCTCTTTGCTGAATGTCCCTGCCAGCTCCCTTCCTCTCATATTATTGCACTAGGCTGCTCTGAGTTTGAGATTCTGACAGCACCAGGGTATAAAGGAAATCCATAGACAGATGTCATTTTTTTGGACTATATGAATAACCATATAGCCTCTGTAATATAACCAAGAATTGTCAGTATTCTATTAGGACAAAACAAATCACTTCTGTTATCACTTAAACACATTCCATCTTGTTCAAAGTCTCAAGAGATATGAAAGTAGATGCTAATCATTTCTACATTTTCCTCTAAACCCATCTGTCTTAGGTAAAATAGTATTCCTTTCTTTTTCACTCAAATGTCACCATTTTAACCCTTTAATTATCTTTTTTGTCTTTTTAAAATTTTCTGAGCTTGGTATCTTCCTTTGATATGAAAAGAAAAATTATCGTATGTTATTGTTCTAATTTGGTAAAAGGGAATGTTCTGCTCAGGCTAGGGGGCAGAGCACACTCATAGACATCATCTCTCATACCGGCAGATGTTCCATGCAGTTGAAACTGTCTGTGAGAAGCAATAAACCAAAGGCTTCAGTCACATACTTGGTCACCATCGTCTTCTTCTTGTCCAGGAGTCTTTTCCTGATATAGCCTCTTAATCTGGGGATTTCTGGAATTCACAGACAGCACAAACAATTTCAGAAAGCCAGAGTTCACAGCAAAGAGAATTCACAAAAATTAACAGATCAGAATGGCAGCCTAAATTAGCTACAGCTGAGGTCCTATGTGGGCTGACTGCCCAACACAGCAACTTTTCTGGGGCTATTTTTTCCAGGTCTATGATCAACCAAAAGGAATGGTAGGTCAGCAATGATGAATATTAATTTCATATAGTGGTACAAGTCAAACTAAGTAGAAAAATGCAGACTGGTTAAAAACACTGGCACTTGGGCACCTGAGTGGCTCAGTGGTTGAGCATCTGTCTTTGACTCAGGGCATGGTCCCAGGGTCCTGGGATTGAGTCCCACAGCAGGCTACCTATGGGGAGCTTGCTTCTCCCCCTGCCTGTGTCTCTGCCTCTCTCTCTGTGACTGTCATGAATAAATAAATAAAATATTTAAAAAAAAACACTGGAACTTCCCTCTGGATTGCTACTTATAAAGAATTGAACCGAAGATGCTCATAATCCCAGTCTCAGCTCTTCCACCTTTCTAGACTTTTCCATCAACATCAAATAACCCATAATATGAAATTCTTTCATGCTTCCTATAGGACAGATGAGAGTCTCTGCTGAATGGGATTCTCGATTAGAAATTCACCTTAATGAATGGATAAAGAAGATGTGGTTTATGTATACAATGGAATATTACTCAGCCATTAGAAACGACAAATACCCACCATTTGCTTCAATGTGGATCGAACTGGAGGGTATTATGCTGAGTGAAGTCAATCGGAGAAGGACAAACAGTGTGTCTTCTCATTCATTTGGGGAATATAAATAACAGTGAAAGGGAATATAAGGGAAGGGAGAAGAAAAAGACTCCTAACTCGGGGAAACAAACTAGGGGTGGTGGAAGGGGAGGAGGGCAGGGGTGGGGGTGAATGGATGACAGGCACTGAGGGGGGCACTTGACGGGATGAGCACTGGGTGTTATTCTGTATGTTGGTAAATTGAACACCAATAAAAAATTAATTTATTTAAAAAAAATAGAAATTCATCTTAGTCCTAACCTTTTATTAGTCAGAAGACAACAGGTGTCATCCTATTTTTTCCCCATTATTCCCAAAAGTAGAAATTCTTCTATATCGTTCCTAGTGTATACCATTATGATTATTTCTTTTATATCCTTGTTCAAGAAGTTCCCCCATTTCTAGGAACATTTTACACCTTCTGCCCCTTTGCCTCCTCTCCCATGCCGACATGTCAGGTAAAACGCATGTATGTCTTAAGCCATTTTAAGCTCGGGTCAAAGTCAAGCTCAGATCCTACCTGCTTGCCCACTTTGCACTGAGTGCTCCAGACCTCTAGGTTCTCTGGGATTCTATTTAATTCACAGCACCATTTAACTAAGCCTTATTTTTCCTTTGAGTTTTACACATGGCTTAGTATTAGCTCCTCATCTAGATTTTAAGTTCTGTGAAGAAAGCAGTCACATCATCTGTTTTTTCCTCCTCAGAGACAAAGCATACAATAGATGCTTGGTAAATACTTCTAATACTTGTAGCTGGATGAGTGAGGAGTTGCAAGCCAAATACTTAGGAAATGACAACCCAATCTCTGACCTCTACCAATTTTGGTAAAATTTAGATGAAAGAAGAACTGTAGCCTCAGGTGCCACAACAATGCAGAGAGAAAAACAAATATGTTTGCTAATAGGTATAGAAACTGTGACAAGCTGGAAATGTAGCATGGAAAGTTCTAGAGAGAGAAATTCAGGGTACCAGGCTTAACCTTGGGAATTCTAGTGATTGAGATAAAAAAAAATATATGTAAGTTACCAGTTTCCTCCTCAGTGAGGAGAGCCGGCTGCCAGTACTCCTGGGCGCTGACTGTGTATACCAGATCTGAGGTCTTCAGAACCTTGGAGTCAGTGGGCAGTTTTCTCTGAAGTGAGAGAGGTACACAGGGAACAGAATAACTCAAACATGGTGAAGGAAACGATGCACAGGTCTTACAAGAACCTTTAGCAAATTTCAGCTCACTCACTTTCAATCCTGCAAGAGCCCTTTAAGGAACACACAACACCTATATGGCAGGTGTTCCCATCTGTCCATACTTCACAAGGTTATAAGAAAACTGCCACATAGAAACTATTATCTTGGGAGTTAAAAATAGCAATTATAGAAGAAAATGTATAGAGAAAATAGTTCAAAGTGCACTGAAATGTTCAGAGAGGGGAAAAGCTCCAGGGTGCTTCATAGGGGGTCAGGTGGGGAGCACAATTCCAGCAAATGCAGTGACATGCTAGAGCCAGCTGTACCAGCTCCTGAGAGCCTACTGTACACAGCTCTCCCCAACCCCGTGTTTAGCAACATCACTCCAGTAGCTTGAAATTTGCCATGGTGGGAGTATTACATCATAGGAATCAGCAAATGCTAGAAATCAGGGCCTTTTTAGGTGGTTTGTTTCTTTTCTTTTTAAACAGAGAGCTGGTTGTTAAATATTTACCTACCCAAAACAACACTGTGCTGTGAAAGTGCAAGGTTCTTAGCTGGGTGGTTAGTGAGCAATCAGACACATTTAAAAGCAGAGTAAAAAATAAATAAATAAATAAATAAATAAATAAATAAATAAATAAATAAAAGCAGAGTAACATTTAAGTACATCATAGTTTCAAATGTCAAGGAATTAAGGATGTGACAAAGTCTTTTTTATGATTAGAAAAATCATCATCACAGAGAAGTTACGCTAGGATTATACACAAATATTGTTCCATAATCTTTCATTATTCTCACTTAAAAGAAAAGAAAGGACACCTGGGCGGCATAATCAGTTAAATGTCTGAGTCTTGGTTTTGGTTCAGGTCCTGATCTCAGGGTGGTGAGATGGAGCTCCACATGGGGCTCTGTGCTATGCACAGAGTCTGCTACAGTTTCTCCCTAACTCTCCCTCTGCCCCTCCCTGCCTCTCTTTCTTTCTCTCTCTCTAAAATAAATAAATAAATAAATAAATAAATAAATAAATAAATAAATAAATCTTTAAAAAAGAAAAGAGAAAAACCGTAAAGGATGTGTGTGTGTGTGTGTGTGTGTGTGTGTGTGTGTGTGTGTTTATGGGTGTTTGGGAGCAGTAGAAAACTATAGAGTTGTCAATCTCCTTCTGATGCAAAGATACCAAAGAGCTGAGTGAGTAGTCCACTGGGAGAGGCAAGAGACCACATATTCGGCACGCTGTAAGCCAATGTAGTTAAGGCTGGAATAGAGATGACAGGGTAGACTTCCAGAAGCCCCACACACTACAGTCAAGGCTGAAATAATACAAAGGATCTAACAAGGTTAACCTTTTTCCCTTCTGATAGAGTTTTGAGTCTAGCAAAAAAAGCTTAGAGAATGTTGAAACTATTTTCTACTGGGAGATAAAACTAACGCAGAATTAAATTTAAGCAGGGTTTTAAAACATTTGAAAGAAAGGAGTATGCCTCACTGTATCTAGGTGTTTACATTATTTAAAATCTTGCTCTAAATTTTGTATACCACTTCCAAAAACTATTGAATATTAGTTAACATTTATGCTTGTTATGATAGTACAGAGAAATATTTTTATAGTGTCAATGAAGTGACTACAGTGTGCAGGTTCTATATTACTATAGAAGACATGTAGAAACAGTTATAGCTGGAAAGTAGGATCCGAGAGGTGAGTGGATATTCATTGAATTATCCTATAGAAAGATTAGTCACTATTATAATTTATACACATGGCTTGTTACTACAGTGTATAGCACCATAGATATTAAAATTTGTAAGAAGATATTACATATGAGAGAGGAGAAAGTCTATAGCTCAAAATATAAGGGGTACTAGATGAAAGCAGAATCAAAAGCGGGGATAGTGAAGCTGGAGTTAGCTTAAGGTCAGTAATATAAATCATGACCCCATTTTCAAAATAATCTCTTTTCTAGCTTTTTCATTACAATAATTTTGCAGAAAAAAACAAAACAAAAACTATAATAATTTTGCAGTGATTTCACCCTGCCCACTTATTTTGCCTGTATGAAATCATTTGATATGAATCCCTAGCACCCCAAATTTTATTTTTGATAGTACTCTTTAATAAAAGAGACCCAAGTTTACTTGAGAGTAGTAGGTCCACATCTTGGGGCAGGGAAAAATAAAAGGAGTCTGAACATCTTGTTGTTGCCAAAGAGCAAAAATGTTTTGAAAATGTATGGGTAAGGTGAAAATAAACCAGCTTAAATTATAGGCTCTCACTGGCCAAGAGGCGAACTAGAATACCATAAAGAACACAGTAATTCTGTGAAAAGTCAAGAGTCCATCACAGTCCTCAAACTAAGTAAAATAAGGAATAGTAATAAGAAGGACTATATATGTATTGGTCTCTGTCCCCAGTTCCTGACACAAGGCCCCTAAATTCCTTATAAACTGGGGTGCTAGGATAGTCTTCAGTTCTAATATTAGTCCTGATCCCAGTTCTCAGCACAGAGCTCCTAAAACCACCATCATTTCCTAAGTGATAAGCACACCAAAAGCATCTGTTGTTCTAATATTTGGTCTTTGACATTAGTACCTGACATAGACCCTAAATCCCTTGGAATTTCCTAAGTGATAGGAGTGTCTTCTTTTTCTAATGAGGCAACTCTGGGTGAGTTCCTGAAAGGGCGCTGGTCACAGAAAAAGTCAAGTGATTAGAAGTTTGAAATTTTCAATCCCATCCCACATACCCCCCACCCTATTCTCCAGAGAGGGTAGAGGGGCTAGAAATAGAGTAATTGATGATGCCTATGTGAATAAGCCTCCATAAAAACTCCAACAGTATGGGGTTCAGAGAACTTCCAGGTGGGCAAATACATAATGGTACGGTGACATACTCCAACTCCACAGAAACAGAAGTTCTTGCATTTGGACTCCTCTCAAACCTCTCCCTATATATCTCTTGATCTGGCTGTTCATCTGTAGCTTTTATCCTTTATTATATTAAAAAACTGGTAAATATAATTATTTCATTGCATCTTGTGAGTTACTCCAACAAATAATCGTATCCAAGGGAGAAGAAGTCATGAAAACCTTCAATTTGTAGCCAAATCAGACAGAAACTGTGAGTAAACTGGGGACCTATCATTTGCAGTTGGCAACTGAGTAGGTGGCAGTCTTATGGGACTGATCCCTTAACCTGTGGGATCCAATGCTATGTCCAGGAAGATATTTTCAGCTTGAGTTAAATTGTAGGATGCCCTACCTATGGCTCAGCAATCGCACTACTAGGTATTTATCCAAAGGATACAAAAATAGTGATTCAGAGGGGCACATGTACGCCAATGTTTATAGCAGCAGTGTCCACAATAGCCAAAATATGGAAAAGCCCCGATGCCCATCAAAAGATGAGTGGATAAAGAAGATGTGGCACATATATACAATGGAATATTACTCAGTCATTAGAAAGTGATGAAATCTTGCCATTTGCAATGACATGGATGGAACTAGAGGCTATCATGCTAATTGAAATAAATCAATCGGAGAAAGACAAATACCATATAATTTCACTCATGTGTGGAATTTATGAAACAAAACAGATGAACATATGGGAAGGGAAGGAAAAAGAAAATAAGATAAAAACAGAAAGGGAGGCAAAGAATAAGAGTCTCTTAACTATAGGAAACAAATTGAGGGCTGCTGGAGGGGACCAGGTGGGGTAATGTGGTAACTGGGTGGTGAGCATTGAGGAAGGCACAGGATGTAATGAGCACTGGGTGTTATATGCAACTGATGAACCACTGAATTCTACCCCGGAAACTAACAATACACTATATGTTAACTTAAAAAAAAAAATCATAGAACACCCTGCTGGTGTCACAGAGAATTGCTTGGTGTGGGAAAAAATTCCAACACTGGTGTCAGAAGTGTTGTTAAGTGTGTTAGCATGGATTAGAAGAATTAATATAATTAAAATGTCCATGCCACTCAAAACAATCCACAGATTCAAGGGAATCCCTATCAAAATACCAACAGTATTTTTCACAGAACTAAAACAAATAATACTAAAATTTGTATGGAACCACAAAAGACCTCAAATAGCCAAAGCAATGTTGAGAAAGAAAAACAAAGCTGGAGATAACATGTGTCCAGATTTCAATTTCAAACCATACCACAAAACTATAATCATTAAAACAGTATGATACTGGCACAAAAACAGATACATAGACAATGGAAGAGAGTAGACAGCGCAGAAATAAGCCCATACTTGTATGGTCAATTAATCTACAACAAAAGAGGCAAGAATATATAATTGGGAAAACACAGCCTTTTCAATAAATGGTGTTAGGAAAGCTAGTCAGCTACATGCAAAAGAATGAAACTAGACTACTTTCGTAAACCATATACCAAAATAAGCTCAAAATGGATTAAAGACCTAAAAGTAAGGCCTGAAACCATAAAATTCCTAAAAGAACACATAGGCAGTAAACTTTTGGACATTGGTCTTAGCAGTGTTTTTTTTTTTTTATATGTCTCCTCAGGCAAAGACAACAAAAGCAAAAATAAAATTGGAACTACATCAAAGTAAAAAGTTTTTGCTCAGGGAAAGAAACTGTCAACAAAACAAAAAGGCAACCTACTAAATGGGAGTAGATACCTTCAGATCCTATATGTGATAAGGGGTTAATATCTAAAATATGTAAAAAGTCCATGCAAGGGAACACCAAAAAAACCCAAAGAATCCGATTAAAAATGGGTAGAGGAATTAGATAGTCATTTTTCCAAAGAAGACATATAGATGATAAAAAGACACATGAAAAATGCTGAACTTCACTAATCACCATGGAAATGCTAGTTACAACCCCAAGATATCACCTCACACTGGTCAGAATGGCTAGTATCAAAAAGATAGGAAATAACATGTATTAGTGGGGGTGTGGAAAAAAGGGAACCCTCACGCACTGTTGGTGGGATTGTAAATTGGTGCAGCCACTGTGGAAAACAATGTGGAGGTTCTTTTTTTTTTTTCAATGTGGAGTTTCTTGAAAAAAATTAAAAATAGTCATACCAAATGATCCAGCAGTTCTACTTCTGGGTATTTATCTGAAGAAAACAAAAACGCTAATTTGAAAAGATATATGCTCCTCCACGTTTCCTGCAACATTATTTATAAATAGCCAACATATGGAAGCAACTTAAGTGTCCATTAATGGATGAATGAAGATATATGTATATACAGTGGAATATTATTCAGCCATAAAAAGAATAGAATCTTGCCATTTGCAACAAGACAGATGGGCTTACAGGAAATTACACTAAGTGAAATAAGCCAGAGGAAGACAAATACCATATTTCATTTATAAGAAATGTAAAAAAAAAAAAAAACAAATGAGCAAACAAAGCAAAATAGAAAGAGACTCAGAAATAGAAAACAAACTGGTGGTTGCCAGAGGGAATGGGGATGGAAGGTTGGGCAAAATAGGTGAAGAGGATTAAGAGGTACAAAATTACAGTTACCAACTAAACAAGTCATGGGAATATAAAGTACAGCATAGGGAATATAGTCACTAATATTGTACTAACATGGTGACAGAGGGTAACCAGACTTATTTTGTGGTGATTGTGTTGTGATATATAGATCTGTCCAATCAGTATGCTATATACCTGAAGCTAACATAATATTGTGTGCCAACTATATGTCAATTTAAAAAAAGAAGTAGTGTGAGCGTGTTAAAGCATGAGAGGAAAGGAGAGACACATAGGAGGAGGAGTATGGTTTTCTTTATAGGTGTCGTCATGCAAAGGTAAAATGCTGTGTGATAATCAGCTTAAAGGTTGTACCTGAGAATGTAAACACCCAGCTCTCTTTCACCTGCCACAAGACTTGTGGATGTGAACTCCCTGACATCTCTTGAACGCATCTCCTCTCCTCCACTCCTATAAGTGACTGCCTTGCTCAAGCTCTTAGCACTTCCAGCTGGATTACAGGAAAAGCCTCCCAAATGGTCTTTCTGCATCCAATCTTCACCACCCTGCCCCCTCATCCATTCTTCTGAATGCTGAGAAAACAATCTTTCTAAAATACATAGTATTTCCAGACTAAGGCCTATAAATGGAATCTCAGGGATCTGTCATTTTTCTTACAGTATATTTTCCCAATCTTTATTTTTATAATACAGTATAAGCATAGAGATCTATATGGATGACCACCTTATAATCAGCGTCATGATTAATATAAAACCCAAATACAATTAAGATTAAATTTGCTCCAAGTGAAGGCATGCAGTACAAGTGAAGATTTCACAATACTTCAGACTGAAGTAAAGTGGTTGGAGAATTAAGATATTACCTGGCCATCAGATGTATAGGGGTGCAGACCTCAAAAGACTTGCATGGTAATAGAATGATAGTCACCCTGCAAGCTGAGTCACTGTTGTCCAGACCCTATCTCAGACACACCGACGTGCCATATTTATTAGCAATAAATATAGTTGTGAATTGCAAATTGAAGTATCTGTGTTTTGTTTCCAGAAACAATTTTGATGAGGTACTCATTAAATGCATATTTCTTTAATGCCATCCAGAACAATTAAAGAGAATAAGAACAGCTTTATTCAGTTATTGCCTCATTAAAACCGGCATTCAAGAATTGGTTGGTCAAAAGTTTTGGCTTAAGTACGAGGTCTGGTTATCCTGAATTAGAGACAAAAGCTTTGAAATTTTCAATTCCAGATTGTACATCAGAAGTTTTCTGCATCAGTGTAATTGAATTCAAAATACAGAATGCAATTAAATGTAGAACAGGACATCAGGCCATATGTTTTTACTATTACCCAGCACTGAAAATTTAGTTTCAGCAAGACCAAAATTTCTATCACATTATACTAACTCTGATATACCACTTCTACATTTTGTTTATAGTTTATCTTAAAATTGGTTTTAGTTTTATAGTTGTATAAAGCTATTATAATAAGGAGTTTTATAAGTCAGAATAACAAAAATAATTTAAGAAAATACCAAGATTCCTACAGAACAATTTCTCAAGCTTGAAAAATACAGCTCAGGGGGTGCCTGGGTGGCTCAGTTAGCCTCCAACTCTTGATTTCAGTTCATATCATGATCTCAGGGTCGTGAAATCGAAACCCACATTGGGCTCTGTGCTGGGTGTAGAGTCTGCTTAAAATTCTCTCTCTCCTTCTCTCTCTGCCCTTCCATCACCCCCACCCCTCCCCCTGCCCCCTCTACACACACTCACTATAGCTCAGCTGCTCTCTCTGCCTTTCTAAAAAATAAAATAAAATAGCTCAGGCCTTATCTCCCAGAAGTCCTGCAGAAGGCCCTTTCTCCCCCTTCCTTGCTTACTAAAGACTACTGGTTCTTTAAAATTCTTCTCAAGAGCATGAGTTTTCCCTGCACCTCTCTACAACAATCCCTCTCTGACTGCCAGGGTGATCCGAGCATCCTTCTGTGTCCCCACACCATCCTTTGCATTCCTCCAGCGAATCATGCTCGAACACTGTGGTGATCTCTGATTTTACCTGCACATATTTCTCAATAGACCATATGCTTACTCCATCCTTCCAACAACCACAAGAGGTAAATGTTATCATTTCCCCATTTTACAAATGGGAAAGTGGAGATTCAGAGAGGAATAGTAATTTGTCTGAGGTCACAAGTTACTAATCAGTAGGACTAAGTTAACTCCAAACTGCTCCAAGGCTTTTGATGTGGCTACTACACAAGACCAAATAGACATTTGTTTCTGAAAATCTGAATGGTTGAAAAGCAGAAAAAATACATAGGGAAATCTGTTAACTCACCTTGAGTTTTTCCTTGAGAATTCTACTCCTTTGTAGTTTTATCAGGTCATTTCTTTCTAAAACAGCCTCCCGCTGACTTGAAATAGCCTGCTAGTTGGGGAAAAGAAATGAAAGCATGGTAAAGAGTTTAGAGTTATACGGTGATAAGATGCACAATATGGGGGGCATATCTTCATTTGGCCCAGACAAATGTGTATGTATTTGGGTTTTATATTAATCATGAAAAGTATTATTAAAAATAACTAGTTCATGCATATGTCTAAACTCATTAAGCTGTTACATTAAATGCGTAAAGTTTTTGTTATCACTTACATATCAATAAAACTTAAAAAATAAAAAAAAACTAGTCTGTACTTACATTTCCCACTTTTCTTTCCCTGAAATGAAAATTGTAACAATTACTTAACTCATTTGATGTGTCACGATAGTCTTTCAAATTTCCCTAAAAGCAGCATATATTGTGATGCCTTAATACCTTCACATAAGCTTTCCTTGGTACAAATGTCCTCTCTTCTGATCTACCTGCAGTGTCCACTTGAAACAAGTGTCTTTATTTCTCAGTGTTTTGTTGGTGGTGATCTCACCCCCTGACCCAGTCGAATTGCAGCCCTCTCTCTCTGGGTCTCCATAGCACTTTGATTATCCCTCTCTTACAACCTTTAACCCTCTTCTAAGGCAGCAGTCTCAGTGACAAGGCACTATCCCCCTCTGAATCTGCAGGTCCTACCATGGTGTTCAACAAAGGTTTCATAAATTTGATTGAATTATGTTCATTTGCAGAGTTGGCACTTGAAGGGAGAGCTTGAGATACCACTCTGGGGTAGAAGGCGGGGTGAGGGAAACTGCAGGCAAAAACAGTGAAGCTGAAGTTCCAAACTAGCCCATGAAAGCAAGATGTTAGGGGGAAAGCCTTGGCCTATCTCCTTACCTGAGATGTTTTCTCTGCTTAGTGAATTCCTGAAGACACAGATTCAAATTTCAGTGGGTGTGGGGGAATGGTAGAGATGACAGGTGACCAGCAAAAATGCTCTTATTAGAGCAGAGAAGCATTAACATTATATCTGATGGCCATATGCCCCACAGACCCAGGACAGACCAGTTTATACTTGCTGTAAGGGTAAATAACACCCCTTTCCATTTTCAAAGGGTGCCAACAGAGAAGGTAAGTTATAATTCTCTTGGTTACAGAGGTACAGAGATCCACATGGAAATCGGCATATTTTAACATTTATTAAACTCTAAAATGCTTACCTTCCATTAAAATTTTGCCAGAATATGACTCTATAAGAATGCTGTTACTGTTGGCCAAAGTTCTGAAACATTGAGAACCTTGCTCCAAATGAGTTTAAAATCTGAAACAGAATCTGACACTTCAAAGCTGCGCCAGACAGTATTACAGAGTGCCTACTAGCTGTGGGGCATTTACATGTCCCATATCTGTGGGAGATGGGGCAGGACCATCACACCACACAACTCCAGGAGGCGCTCTTTGCATCTCATATACATGAGTGCCCCCCCATGCCCAGAGCTGCACAGGGAACAGCCTATTGGGTATTGAACAGCTACTCCAAAAGAAGGGCCACAATGTTCAGATTCCCAAGGCAATCTATCCAAGGGTCTTGATGTCCTAGGAAGTCACCCAGATTTTTCTTTCATCCCCAACCATTACTTCCTTAGGTCTATAATGCCCAGGGGTCCAAGCCCTGTTGTTACAGAGGTCGGAACCCACAGAAGAGCCCATAGGCCTACAAGCCCAGCTTGGTACCTTAGATATTCCGGCAGGTGGAGTTTGTCAGTCTTGGTGACCACCAGAGCAATGTCCCTGCAGAAGCCCCTTTGGCAGGCTTTGATGCTCTCATTCAGAAGGTCTTCATGGGCTCTTCCTCCAGAAATTCTTTCAATGTCACTGATGACCCAGATCACTGAGCATTTATCAATGGTCTGTGAAACATAACCACAGTAGTTTTAAGAACATAAGTGGCATCTCAACTGTAGAGGACATGATCCCGTAATGTATCATTTATGTCCTCTATGCTCTGCCCTATCTCTCTTCCAGTCCCACCTCTCATCTCTCCCCACTGCACTCTCCATGTACTAGCCAGACTGAGCTTCTTGAAGTTTCTCAGATGTAACTTACTCTTTTATCTCTCAGGCCCTTTGCACTGGCCACAACCTCTGCTTGACCTCCATTTGCCCTTTGAGACTATGCTAATGGCCACGTGATGATGGATTGGCCACCCCTCCTCTGCATTCTACAGCACCTAAATTTACCTGCCATTGCACCTTTCAGAGTTACTGAATAGGGTTGGCTTTCTACACCACCCCAACCCCACTCTCAGATCGTGAGGTATTTGGCGGGCTGCACTTTTCAGCTTGGAATACATGTCACGTTAGACACAGTGCTTGGCCCATACTAGAGATTTCACAGATATTTGTGGCATTAGTGATTGGTAGAATTAAAGAAATCAGACCTCCAGCCCCAGATCCATCACTGGCTTGCTTTACTTCAGTTGTCTTCTAGGGAAAATTATTGTTTTTCCAGAAGAGGTTCTGGTCATTCATCAATCCCAAAGTTATCACCAGAGGGCATCGTTTTGATGTTTGACTGCCCCTGCATATTTAGCACACTGCCACCATGTGGGGGCATGGAGCCAGAAACTTTATGATCCCAGTTGTGAAGGTCAATGAACATGAAATTACAATTTATTATTAAAGTCATAAATACTGGGGCACCTGCGCGGCTTAGTCAGATAGGTGTCTGCCTTCTGCTCAGGTCATGATCTCAGGGTCCTGGGATTGAGCCCCTTATCAAGCTCCTTGCTCAGTGGGGAGTCTGCTTCTTTCTCTTCTTCTACCCCTCCTCCTACTCATGTGCTATATGCTCTTTCTCAAATAAATAAACATCTTAAAAAAATCATAAGTATTGCTCTATTCGATATGCAACTTTTATGTGAGAAGTAATCACATGTTGCCTTGTGACATTTCTCTTACTATACTGTTTCACTTGTCACCTTTTCCATATAAAGAAAAAGCTGGTCCAGCTCAGGGACTGAGTTTATTTGAGGTTCCTCAGGACAGCACTTTGCACACAGAGGTGTAACAAGTTTGTGACTTGCTAATTAAGTCATTATTTCGCCTTATGCCAATAGTTATTAACTCAGGGCAATTCTGTACCCTAGAGGACATTTGGTGATCTCTGGAGATATTTTTAATTGTTATGACTTGGGTTAAGCACTAGTGGGTAGTCAGGAATGCTAAACATCCTTTGATGCCAGGTCAGCACCTCCACAATAAAGATTTATCTGGCCAAAAATGCCAAAGGTGCTGAGGCTGAGAAATCTTGGGTTTCAAGCTTATTTTTAGCAGTGGAGCCTTTGTCAAATGAAATCTTAGGAAAACCTCCTTCCTATGTGGATGAACTCACATTTAGGCAGGAGAATAAAAACAACTGCTCCCTCCCATTTCCCAAACTATAATCTATTTAGGGAAGCTTCTAGCTATTCAATCAGGTTGTGGAAGATCATAGGATACCAGGCTGCAAGCTCCACAATGGCAGGGCCTCTTTTGCTTTTGTATTACTCTGGTCCTGGGAAACTGCACGTGCTTAATAAATGCTTATTAACATAAGAAGAGGAGTACACATTTCAGGCCCTATACAAAGCTCTGACTGCCAGGGTTTGGTCAAGTTCGAGTCGCAGAAGACACAAAAAAGCTTATCTAGAGTAACTGAACTTATGAGTGGGTGGGGTGGCAGGGATGCCATTCCCCTCCCCTGATGCGAAAGGGCCTCAGAGAGCTCAGGTGACATATGCCTAAAATGTCACAACTTCAAGGTGGCAGACAGAGACACATGAATTCATAGTAGTCTTAGCTTAGGGAAGGCAAGGCTGGCAGCTAGAGAGATGGGGGGAGGGGGCATTGTGCTATGTTCTCCCTAAAAAGAGGGGAGTCTTTAGTCACTTCTTGTGAGAGAATATCCCAAAACCACAGGAATGCAGGGGAGCTGAGGCCAAGCGGAGCAGGCTGGGAACCATCCCTTCACTGTAGCCCGACCTCCTCAGAGCGGGTGTTCTGAGCCAGATCTGCTGGCTCCTCTGTTCTGAGTGGCCTTTGATAGGTTGCCCAGCATATCATAACTGGCAGCAACCATAGCTCCATCCAGGGAGAGAGGCTGGCTGCCTCCCTAATCTGTTGCTCTTGGGGCCTAGCATGGAACTAGCCAGGGCTGGGGATTCCACTCCAAGAGCTGAGACCCTGCAGAAACCAGGCCTTCATGTCAGGACCTGAGCAGTTTACCAAGGTGAAGGACTCTGGGACTGCCTTTATCTTAAAACACTTAGGGGGTCCTATGGGGAGACATGGAGCCAGCCGGAAGGAACCTGCTTTCTCATTCAAATTCTGCCATTCAGTAGCTGTGGGGTTTTAGGCAAATTATTTTCCCTCTCTGAGCCTTAACTTCTTCATCTGTAAAATCAGAGCATAGACTGATTATTTGTAGGCTGGCATCCTGATCTTGTCAACCTGATCTTGGCTGCAAACTGGTCACAAAGTTCCCCTGGTCACATTCATTTAGCACAAATCCGCAGAATTTAAAGCTTGCATATAGCAGAGAATAGATGGTTCTCTGATAGATCCTTTTATAGTGCTGGACTGATTGTGACTTACGGATCCCAGCTCTCCCTCCCAGTCCCCTTCCAACTCCAGTCCTATGCCTTGTGCTCCTGAGCTCCTCTGCCTAAAGACACCCTTTCTCTTCCTATCACATGCCCCAGCCCCTCTTGTCTTCCAAGCTTCCCCAGGAAGGGTAGCATTCAAGCCCAACCTCCAAATTTTCCGGGCTTGCCTTCTGTGCCTCTCTTGTCTACACCCCACACCCCTTCCCTCCAGCTACCCAGGAAGACTCATCCTTCCCCCAACACTTGGCTCCTTCATTCCTCTGGGTCTTTGCTGCTCTCTGGCCTAGAACAGCGCTCATTGGTCCCATTCTCAACAGTCTACTGTGGTGACAGCTAAGCCCAAGGAACCTCTCTGAAGCTTCCTTCACATGCAAAAGGAACTCATCCCTTGGTGCTCTCATTTTTAAGTAATGTGGTTTGTTAACTAATGGAACTAATTGGTTCCTTTCTGGACTATAAGACTGCCGAGAGCAAGTCTTTGTCTTCGTCTATCCAAAACCTAACACAAAATTGAGTAGGCGCTCAGTGGATGTCTGCTGAAGGAATGAGGCTGCTTGTTGAAAGTAATTTCTATTTTTGTGTTCATAGCACCTTGGACTTCTCTTATATCACCTTTTGCCAGGGGTTAGTCATCTGTAGATTTCTTCTCTCTTGTTAGACTCTAAGCCGCTTGTAGGAAGGCTCTGCTTCTCATTCAACACTTCTATTTTGCTTTCAGCTTTTTAGTTATAAAGGTAATACATGTTCATCCAAAATATGCAAACAATTCACAAATGTATGTAGTAAAGAGTGGTAGTAAATGCAGAAACTCTTGTTTACAGTTGGGTGGGTATCCTTCTAAAAGGCAAGATTCTACTTCTGCTATTCATTTTCAAACATTACACATGCATACACACATGCACCTTTCTTAACATTAAAGGTAATGCTCTGCATCTTTTAATTTAGCTTTGTTCCAACATATAGGATTACAATAGGATTTAAGATCAGAGAGGCTCTCCAGCCATCCTGCCTGGGTTAAAATCCCCAGGGTGATAATGGGCAATTTACTTTACTGAGATTAGTACCTAGCACAAAGTAAATGCTCGGTAAATGTCTGCTATTACTGGCCATAATCACTGCATTCTCAGTGCTAAATTTATTGTCTTGCATATTATATGTGTTTGTGAATGAAAAGCAAATGAACAAAGAGATAAATTTTTTTTTGAGATAAATTCTTAGATATTTCGGTCTTTCATCATTAGGTACAGATTTAGCTACCACAATGCGTAGCTCTCTGACTGTAGACATATCTGTGGGTGCCTGGTCAGCTCCAACTTCTTTGCCGGAAAGTGAAACTCTACCCAAGATTTTGGCTGAAAGGGTAGACATTCAACCACCACCTCCAGCCACAGCTGATTGTACTGGATACCAAAACCAGAGAGGGTTAATCATTAGCTGAGCAGTAAGCGATCCCATTTTCCTTCTTAGGAATCTGAACTAAAGCACATAGAGACTAGAATCAGACAGTTGTAGGCATATGAACCACAAAGTAATTTAGAGATAGGGCTAGGGGAGCACCTGGGTGGCTCAGTGGTTGAGCATCTGCCTCCTGCTCAGGGCATGGTCCCGAGGTCCTGGGATGGAGTCCCAATTTGGGTTCCCTGCAGGGAGCCTACTTCTCCCTCTGCCTATGTCTCTGCCTCTCTGTGTCTCTCATGAATAAGTAGATAAAATCTTAAAAAAAAAAAATAGAGACAGGGCTAGAGTGGTCATTGTCCACAACATGGATCCTAAGGGCTAAGCAGAGGAAGCTAACAAAAAGAAGGACCCCACAGAGAAATGCACAAAGAAACAGTCACAAAAGCCAGGCAGAGGACGAGAGAAAATGGCAGGTTCTATCCTGATAGGTGGCCTTGAGGCCTGGCTGTCACAGGAGACCCTTGGATACTCTTTTGATGAACCCCTTCTTGCTTGGGATTGCTTTAGTAGGTCTCTGTTCTTTACAACTAAACACCTTAGCAGCCTCCTGGTTCCTTGGAGCTTGGCTCTGAGTCTCAGCTTCTCTACTTTGTACCCAGAACAGAAAATTCTTTGTTACTTTAGAAAGGGTGGGGGAGTTGAAGGAAGAGGAAACGAAGTCACATGAAAGAGAATCACCTTTTTCCACATCTCATCTCTCTTGCTGTTGAAGTCGCCTGTGCCTGGAATGTCCACCAGCACAACCCCTTCTGGAATCAGCTCTGATCTGGGCAAAGTCACTTCCACATGTTTGATCAAGGGCCAGATCTGTGTCTCAGTTGGTTCTCCAGCCAAATCTCTCCTCTGAGTCCGGATGTAGGGGTCCAGCTTGACAGATAGCTCCTCTGCCTGAGGAAGGACAAAATCACACACACCAGACATTCTCCTGGTTCTCTGTCCTGGATCAGCTGTGATTTGGGCTCAGCGAAGGTATGCTGAGTAATGGTAAGAAACAGCACTGGGCAATGGGCACTGGGATGCCTGTGATCCAGTCTGCAAGGGCCCACACTCTGAGAGCCAGAAAGGACCCTGGAGATCAGAAAGTGCAAGCTCCTTATGTACAGATGAAAAAACCAGAGCCAGTTAGAATGGGGCTTCAGCAAAGTTATAGTTTCACTGGATAATGATTTCATCCTCTAAATTCCATTTCAATTCTAAAATTAATGCTATTAATATGCAATTGTCTACATTTTGGAGAGAGAGCATTTTTCCCATGTGGCTAATGCAAATATTTGGATTTCCAGAAAGCCTTGACTATAGAAAATTGATAGTGATGTGATGACCATATTTTCCAAATTGAAAATTGGTCTGAAATTGATCTTTAAAATGGTTTCTAAAATTTCTCTTCCAAATACAAAAATATCTTGATGTGTAGGCATTTCCAGCATGTTTTAATGATGGTAGGGATGGGGAATTTTTCTCAGCCCATTGTTCCTAGCTAAACATATCTTCAGACAATGACACATTCATGCCAGCAACTATGTGTGGCAGCAAATCTCTACTGGGATACTACTTCAGAGGACAGAAGATCTGGGATGTATGGTGGTCATTTAAAAAAAATGTATTTATTTATTGTAGAGAGAGAGAGAGAGAGAGAGAGAGAGAGAGCACTGGTGGTGAGGGACAGGGGAGAAGGGCAGAGGGAGAGGGAAAGAGAATCTCCAGCAGACTCCCTGCTGACCATGGGGATGGATCCCATGACCCTGGGATCATGACCTGAGAAAAAATCAAGAGTCAGACACTTAACCAACTGAGCTATCCAGGTGCCCCATGGTGGTCATTGTTAATAAATATTTTTAGAATGGTCCTGAAAAAAAAAAGATAAGAACAGAAATTCTTGACAGAGTTGAGATTATATAAAGGATTTGTTGCAATCTGGGTAGGGAGTCATAGAATTCATTAATTCTAATAAAATAATAAGAAATTGTGAAAGAAAACATGATAAAAGTTCTTTAAGATATTTAATTTAAAAATAGAGCAGATACTGGGGTGCCTGGATGGTGCAGTCAGTTGAGTGTCCAACTCTTGGTTTCGGCTCAGGTCATGACCTCATGGTTGTGAGATTGAGCCCTGTGTCTGGCTCCCTGCTCAGTGCAGAATCTGTTTGGGATTCTCTCTCCTCCTGCCCCTCCCACTCATGCTCTCTCTCTCTTTCTCTTCTGAAATAAATAAACAAACAAACAAACAAACAGATTCACTAAGGAGAATGTGAAAGAAAACACATGGGCTTGAAAAGTCCCTTTGTATAAGAAGGTGTCTCAACCCAATAAATAAACTGACTCAGGACAAATCATTCTAGAAGCAAACTCGGCTTCCCTCATTCCAGTCTAGAATCTTGGAATCAAATTTTGAATCTGTGCCCTCACTCACTGAGATGTAATTATGTTTCAATGAGTATTTCAACTCCTAGTTTCATGGGGTAAATTTGTATCATTGGGAAGGAATATATTTCTAAATACAGAGTAGTAAAGAAATGGGCACTATACTGATACCTTGGTATAACTTATTTGGTGTAAGCTGTGTGTGTCAAAATAAAGTAACCAGTTTTATAATCACTGAGTTTCTTTGGACATGCTCAATCTATGTCTTAGACATTAGGAATATAACTATTTTTAATAGTAATACTCATTTAAATATAAGGAGCTAAGTACCTTGAAAGATTTCATTTATTTGACCTCTAAGTGTGCCTGGTCCAGTATTTAAATTTTTTTGAGAGAATGTAATATATTTAATCTGAACTATAACACAAAAAGTCTAAGGAAACTTAATTAATTATATAAATAAGCATTCGCTATTTAAGGAACACTCACTATGTTAACCTTAGAAGATAACTGAACATTAAAACTTAGAACAAGTGTAAGTAATTGTTCTTATTTCATACAAAAAAATTGCCAGATTTATAAATAGGTAAGAATATTTAAACATGAATTTTAAGAGACAAGAAACACTAAGTTTTAAATGTATAATTTTAATAAGTTACATGTTAGTTCCACAAGTACTTTAATTTAAAATGAAATTTTAATTTAATAAAGTGAATATTGATTATAAAAATGAGGAGAGTGTTGTTCTACTTGCTGCATATCCAATATCCATCCTGTCCTTCACCAATGCTAGCAGAATAGTGACTGTTTGTTTGGGCAGTGGATTGAGATTGGTCTCAGCCAATCATAACACGTTTATTTCTTGCTTTAGATTCCCTTTCAGCTAGGAAAGGCCATGTGACTGAACCAGAGTCCAGTTCTGTATGAGGAAATCTATCCAGAAGTTTGTTGGGGCTGTTTTTGAGAAAGTTTTTACTTTCCCAGGAAAGGGGAGATATGGCTAGTGCCAACTTTTTATCCATCTCTTTCTTCCATGAAGCCAACTGTGAAATCTAGCATTTCAGTAGCAATCTTATGAGTATGAGGCAACAAGTACAGTGGAGGGCCAAGGGAATCCAGGAGGTGTTGATCTTGACATTGTTAAGCCACAAACCCAACTATTTCCAGACTTCTTATGTGAGAAAATGAATAAATCCCTATTCATTTAAGACATTATCAACGGGGTGGTTTTGTTTTTAAACATTTGTAGCCCAAAGCATCCTTAATTAATCCTCAAGTAACTGTAAATAGCCTTCCCTATTCGCAAAAGATCCCCCAGTCAGACACTAAAATTTCTCAGTTGACAGCCATAAATAATACAAAAGAACTTGGTCAGGGATACTTCTGATTTGGGTATCAACTCATTTCCAATAAAAACATTGTGCCTTGAGCAAATCTCTTAAATGGATTCAATTATTATATTTGTGACTCATGATACTATGCAGGAAAAAAATCTTGAAGCTACCTCTTCTGCCTTGAGGGTGATGATTCTGGAGGTGGGAATCTTTCCTTTGGGCTTTGCCCTTAGTAACTCTTCATAGCTCTTTCTTTCTGCTCCATTTCCATAAAACATTTGTAGCTTCCAGATGGCTTCCTCCACAGCATCGTCCCTGTCCCAAGTGTCCACCTCTTCACCCAGGTCCTCTGTCCTGTGCAGGAGTTTAGTCAAATTCTTCAGCTCTTCCTTCCACTCCTGCCAAGAGAGTAGGGCCAAGCCCCTCATGACACAGATTCAGAAAAAAAAACAAGGACAAAGGGAGGAGTCCATTGTTCTTGTGGAGATGGGTAGGGACTGCATAGGCAGGAACTCAAAAATCACCTAATCTAGCAAGGGATCATCTAATCCAAACCCCTTGTTTTGTTAGTGAGGAAATAGGGACCCAAAAAGGGAAATGTCTTGCCCAAAGTCCCCTAACAACAGTGATGGGATGCAGGCTAGAATCTCCAGCTCACTCTACAGAACTTTTTCATTCCATACTATGTTTTTTTTTTTCCTTTCAAGAAAGTCATAAACTATATTTACAATTTAATCTCTGAGAGAGAGGGAGAGGGAAAGAAAGGAAAGAAGAGAGGGAAGGAGGAGAGAAAGGAGGGAGGAAAACAGAGAGAGGAATGAAGAAGGAAGGAAGCAAGCAAGGAAGGAGACACTTACCTGGTCAGAGAGAAGGTGGATTTTGGCCTCATACTGCTCACAGCAGCCCGAGCTCACTTGCACAATACATGACGTACATATACTTTCTCCAGATACTGGTAGAAACATTGCTTGCTGGATGATGGCATTGATCAGGGAGCTCTTCCCAGCCCCTGTGCTTCCAAATAATCCAATGTAGATTGGGTCCAATGATGGTTTTTCAATCAAGGCCAGAAGCCTGTTTCTGAATTGATTTTTAAATGCATGTTGTCATGGTCATCAAAGGGCAGTGGGAAGAATAACAAAATAGAACATGAAGGAACTTAGTTTCAATTCTAGGCAAGTCATATATCTTTTTGAATCTCTGCTACTTTCTTGATCAGATGGGGAATATTAGTCCCTGTTTCCTGCAGAGAGTTGTCATGAGGATCAAAGGAGATTACACAAAAATACTTGGTAACGATAATTCTATACAAACTCTATAATGCCTATATAGATGTGAAGCATCTTTGTTTGTGTTCTATGGAAACTATGTAGTCTTGATCCTAGAAATAAATTTTAGGCAGAAGTAAAGTACTACTGGGAGCAACACAGAGTCTTACCAGGCTGGAGATTCAGTCCTGACACTAATCAAGGGCTTCAGGTCAACTCAGCCCAGCATTTGAGGGCACCAGCTAGAGTTTCACACAGCCTGGCTTGGATTCAAGCCCTTTTGCTTACCAACAGTGTGACTTTGGTCAATGTCTTGGCCTCTCTAAGCCACAATTTCAATAAAATTGGGGTGATAATACTTTTTACTGTATACGGGTATTGGGACAATTAAATTTGATATATGTAAAGTATTTAGCAGGTTACTTAACAAGAGTGGCAACCCAAAGAATGGCAACTATCAGTATAAATAATAATATCCCATAGCTACATAATTTTTCAGCCTTCTTTGCTTGGTTTCTAACTGAAAATTCCCTTTCATTGTTGGAGAAAAGCATCTACCTAAGGAAAGAATGGATGGGAGGTTTGATGGGTAGCTGATATCAGACTCACATGAGATACTTGACTCCATTAGGAATGTTGTCATCAAGGAAGACAGACTGAATAAGTTTCTGATAAGTGTTGCTCAAAACCCTTCTGGTCCGTGACTCCAGTTTTTCATCTGGAATCAATAGGGATGTATTACCTGGGATGTACCTGACAGGGATCAAGTACTAGGTCTCCAAAAGAGGAATATGCTCAATGTTGCAGAGAAAGAAAAAAGGGAAAGAAATGAAATGAAAAGCCAATTAAATATGATAGCAAGTTATCAGACACTAGAGATAATAACTCATGGGAGATAGCAATTATTGAGTATGAGAACCTCCCAAGGAGCTAGTCTGCTCTGAAAATCCTTGTAATGGGAGTCAGCAAATGCTTTGCATTTGGCTATTGCCCTTCTAGAATCTTTCCTCCTGTGGTCATAAAAAAAAAAAAAAAAAAAAAAAAAAAAAAAAAAAAAAAAAAGCCAGGGCATCAAAGAAACACCAAGGCACCAAACCAACCATTTTCACAATCTTTGTCCTCACCAGGAAGAGGTTATTTTTTTTTCTTTTTTTTTTAATTTTTTTTTTATTTATTTATGATAGTCATACAGAGAGAGAGAGAGGCAGAGACACAGGCAGAGGGAGAAGCAGGCTCCATGCAGCGGGAGCCCGACGCGGGACTCGATCCCGAGTCTCCAGGATCGCGCCCTGGGCCAGAGGCAGGCGCCAAACCGCTGCGCCACCCAGGGATCCCCGGAAGAGGTTATTTTGATCAAAACCCTGCTCTCCAGGGACTTCTAGAGATGAACTGTCAAATTAATAGATCTCTGCGAGACTCTGAGGTCCCCTTTTCTGGATCAGGATCATTTGAAAATGTTTCATCCTTCTTTCCCATTTAACCTCCTCCTCCATTGAGCATTTTTATACATTTGGAAAAGAGCAGAACCACATTAAAATAAGTCACACAGCATTGTTATGACACTCACATTCCTTAAAAGCACTTTGTTCCACAGGAGGAAATGCTCTGAACCGCTGGTCAAGAGAACGTCTTCTTTTTTTCATTGGTTCTTTAAACACATCATCATCACCTAGAGATAAACAGAGATTATATAAAATTAAACGTTTTGGGGTACAATATACTTGCCTGACCTCTATCAGTCCACAAACTCAATAATGTAAGAAGTCTCCTGCCAGCTCCTTATGCCTCACATCAGAAGCAGACACTGTTGGACCATTCCAGTCTGGTTCCTATTTCCCAGAGTCGTAGGACTTTGCAACTAACTCCAAAATGCAGCCTAATGTATCTCCTCAGAACATATGTTGAAATGAAATGAGGTTTAGAAATCCCAAGAAGCCAAAATGGCTGGATATTCTTCACTAAATGCCAACTGTGTACAGAGAAGCCCAAGATAGGACTAAATGTGTGGTGAAGAAAGGCCTCTGGGAGGTCTTTTCAAACTGGGAAAGAAATTGATCAGGGAGCAGAATGCAGAGAAATAAAGGGACACGTGACCAGGGTAAATCACTTCTCTGTGACCATCTGTAAGATGAGAGGGCTGACAAAAACACAAAATGTCACAGTGTGGGAAGGTGTTCTATCAGTGGATGGCCTTCAGAGGTTAAATTTGGGAGAATTTTCCCCCTTTCTCACTGAAAGTCATTAATAGCATCTTCCTTAGGTTAAAATTTTAAAAAGAATAAAAATCCGAAAGAAGCAAATCTTTGCAGTTCTCCAGAGATTTACTCACTTTAATGGTTTCCCTTGGTTATGAAGTGAAGGACTGGTAGGAGCCATAATCCTCAGGAAAGGTACAACCGAAACATTGTGTTTTGGATGAGTTTTATTTTATTTTTTTAAAAAAATTTTTTTAATTTTTATTTATTTATGATAGTCACACACAGAGAGAGAGAGAGGCAGAGACACAGGCAGAGGGAGAAGCAGGCTCCATGCACCAGGAGCCTGATGTGGGATTCGATCCCGGGTCTCCAGGATCGGGCCCTGGGCCAAAGGCAGGCGCCAAACCGCTGCGCCACCCAGGGATCCCCTTTGGATGAGTTTTAGAAAATACCTGCTGGCAGTATCCACCAGGTTAGAAAAGGGCCATAGGTGGGTCTTTGGAGTCAAGGTTATTGGAAATTATCCTAACCCAGTACTCCTGGGATTAGTCTGTACCTTGGGAAATGGCCATGACAGGAACCTGAAGAATTGATCCCTAAGAGTCATGGCACTACAAGCTCATGCAGGGGCAATGAGGCCCCAAAACTGAGCATGACATTGGGAGGTCATCTTCCCTGAAGAACCTCAGAGGAGAAGTTTCACTTTGGGACCCAGGATAGCAGCCTGAGCAGAAGGCCCAACCTCCATTGGGCTCTAGACAGGTCTTCCAGATGGTTCAGCCAGTCTTTACCCTCAGTTCAGCCTTATGGCTTCCAGCACAAATCCTGCCATGTCCTGGAGCCAGCTCACACCCCATAAAATATCACAGTGCAGTTGTATGCTGCGCCAAAGCCTGACTCTCTGCCTCCTCATGCTCATGCAGTGACAGGGAGTTGAAACACCTTGTATTTCAGACTCTCTGTCTCAGACATTCTAACTTCTTTAATTGAGTTCAACTCAAAGAAATCATCATGGCTTAGTTTAAGGACTGCATAGAATTAAATACCAAATTGCTGGCTCAGGGGTTGGAGCTGGAGAAGAAGAAGCAAGAAAGAAAAGAATCTGCCACTCAGGCAACCCTAGGCCAGATATAGGCTGATGACTACTTTAGTCCATGTTATAAAAGGTGCCTCAGGATTCCAGGATGTTTCTGTAACCTACGTGTGGACAGTGAAGGATGTCGGGCCTTGGTCAACTTTGTAACTTAGGAACTCTTTTTTGTGAACAATATTTCCATAGTATCTTAGCCACATGTATGAAGCAAAGGATGGGTCCATGTATCCATGATCTTTATCTCGATTTTTGAAGCACTGGCAACTAATCTGATAAAAGATTGGAAGCTTATTTCTCAGCTGAAGCAAAGGCTAAGAAGTCAGATGAACAGCAGAGCTTTAAACTTTTTCTTCAAATTCTCAAATGAAAACCCATTTGGAAAGGAGAAAGTATTCTATCTGGAATTCAGACCATTCAAGGGTAGTCTTGCTATATAATTGTAACTGGAATGAACTGGCCTGAACTGACCACATCTCTTCTCATTCCCTGTAACTGCTCAAGCACTCTCTCCTCTTTTCCAGTATTTTACACTGAAGCACCCAAGAAAAAGTCAGTAGGGGCAGGTGGGGCAGTCTAAAGAAGTTAACCTAGTCTACCGCTGCTGTTGCTTCTTGCTGCCACAGGTGTTGCTTTTGAAAACGCTTCCTCCAACAGCCCCACAGGCTCATTGTTGTCACGGTCATGGTGTGTGTGTGGGAGTGGGGGTTGTGGGTGGTGGTGGATCTTCCAAGCAAACTCTTTCAGCCCGACACTCAACCAAAGGCCCCAAAGTTGTGGTTCTTTCATTTTATGTGCCCAGCCATGCCTCAGATGCTAGCCACCACCCCACTGACCCCAAAACCCTGGATCCCTGGTCCCTAAAGGATTTCACTCCTTGTGAGTGAGAAATTTTTTCTCTCAATTCTCAAAACAAAAAGCATGTGATTTTCCCTGTTTTCTGCACATAGGAGTTGCTTTTCTGCATCCCCCAGGGAAGGTTCCCTCTTTGGTGCCAGGGGTCCTCCATCAGCCTTCTCGGGCCTTGCCCTCACTGGCTCCCAGAGCATTCACCCTATATCTCTCCTTCTAAGGAAAGCACCTGATATTATTCCAGGGGCCTTACCTTGCCCATTCCAAGAGAGACTACTCTCAGAAAATCCAAGATGGCGTTCTGGAACCTCATTTTAGAAGGGGGGGGTGGGGGAGTGCATACACATATAATTATTGATCAGAGTCCACTACATTATGAATAGGCTATTTTAGTTGTTGAAATAATTTATATTGGGGCACCTGAGTGGCTCAGTCTGCTTTGGCTTAGGGCATGATCGCAGGGTCCTGGGATTGAGTCCTGCATCGGTCTCCTCAAAGGGAGCCTGCTTCTCCCTCTGCCTGTGTCTCTGACTCCCTCTGTGTATCTCTCATGAGTAAATAAATAAAATATTTTTTTAAAAAAGAAAGAATTTGTATTCATTCAATATTAAACCATGTCATAAGAAAGCAGATTTTGATTAAAGAGGAAGAACACTATAGTTCAGTACAGTCTCAACCCACTGGCCTTTATTATATTATGGAACTATTTACTATAAGAACTATTTACTTCATCAGGCAATATTGCAGGGATGTTACCTGAATGTGGTCCCGGGCCGACAAAATCGTCCATGTCTTCCATTTCCTGTTATGCAAATACCTGGTTTTGTCCACTTAGGAGAATCAGCCTAAAAATATATACAAAGTACAAGTGCAGGGGCAGGGATGGGGATAACAGCAGAAATTGTAAATATAAAAAGCAAAAACAACAATGGTTAAATCTCTTCATGCTTTGTTTCCCCAACTAGATTCCAAGTTCCTAAAGGGCAGTAGCCTTTCTATCTTACCTTGAATTCCTCACAATGCATTGTATGCTACATGTCATTTTAAACAGGATAAAAATCCATGCCTGACCCTTGGTTTTCAATAATAGTTATATCTATAGAACTTGAAACTGATATGAGATCTTCAAGACAGCCCACACTGAAATAACAATAAACCTCTAGTGACCAGAACCATAAAGGTGAGATTATATGGCTTTTCTGCTTTGGGTGACATCAAGGCTTCAAACAAGTAAGCCTTGGGTTCAGTTATATTTAGTGCCAGCAGGTCTCCGCAAGAATCTGGAACATGGATGGGATATTTGATATTCATAGGGTTCCTGGAGTTGCTTGGGGAGCTACTGAGTGGGGAAGGAGTGATGGAATAACTAGGTTCTCTGGATCTTTCCACTCCACTCCACTTCACCAAGGAAGACACCCCTACTTGGGTCTATAGTCAGCACCACAGCTTGGACATCCACAGGATTAGGGAGTTGGGGGAAGAGAGGCACATTCAAAAGAGGTGTCAGATCCAGCCTGAATCCAGTCCACAGACAGACAGAGCTTGGGCATGGAGGGAGAACGGGGCCCATCAAGGCCCAGAACGGAGTGCACTGCACAGACTGGGAAGGGATGGGCTATCCTGGAGCCTCTTTGTCCCTATGCATAGAGGAGGATTTAGGCAACACAGGTGGGGAGCACCCGAGGTGTTTTCTCTCCCTGATTGATGTTGCTGTTCGGATCACTCAGCCATGTATTTCAAAAGCAGAGAGTCACTGGTCCTTCTGAAAAATGCAAAATCTCACCTGATCTGTCAACTGTCACTAGGCTCTAGGCTGTTAGAGTCAAAACAGCCTCTTATTCTTAGCTTGGCTGGTGGATATTAACTAGCCAAATGATTTCTGTACGTAGTGGATGTTGGCTGGATGTGGTGGAAATCACTACTATGTGCAAAGTCCTGAGTGTTAGGTGGAGTTCCTCACCTCTCCATTCCTTATCTAGAAGCTCCCTCTCAGACCATCCCAAAATCCTTACAGTTCTCCAAGGCACGGTATTCTAATCCATGCAGTTTAGCATAGGCTGTTCTCTCTGTGTGGGGTACCCTTCTCCTCTCTTTCCCAGTGAATTCCTACTCTTTCATTGAGATTCTGTTTTAGCATTTCCTCTGTGAAACTGTCCTGATTCCCACTCATTCCCCTCTTGTGTTACCACTGTTCCAAGCATACCTCTGTTATAGTCCTTTCTTGCTCGTTCCTCCTTTCTGAACCATAAGTTATTTGAGGTCATATCTACATTTGTTTTCATGTTGCATTTCCATCAGGAAGCACAATGACTGATAATAAATGCTGAATGAATGAATGAATAAAATAATGGATGGGAAGTTTCTGATGATATTCTACACCATAGGATGCTTATTAGCCAAATTAGTTTTGTTTAAGTTTTTGTTTAAACCAAATTAGTTTTTGATACAGTTAGAGTCTTAAAGAGTAAAGCAAAGAGTAGGAACAAAAGAACAAGTCTTTGGAAATGAGGCAGTATCAACCATGAAGAGTGTCGGGAATGTTGAACTTGATAAAGGGATGATACAGGCAAAGTCAGAAGATGTGGAGAGGACTTCAGAGCAGTCTTCAACTACATGACCGTGGAGTTGCATATACAAGAGGGATGACACATGTTTTCTGAGGTCCCAAGAAAAGACCATTAGGTTCCTTAGGTAGAAGGTACCTGGAAGCATATTTTGGCTTAACATTCTCTAGTAGTTAGAATTGTCTAAAATGCAATGAGCTCCCTTAGAAAGTAATGAATTTTCTGCCACTAAAGGTGTCTGAACTTATACTGGTATGACCACTTAACAATGGCATTGGACTAGATAATTTTAAGGCCTCCTCAAATCCCAAGATTCTCTATTACCAGCAAAGCTGGTAGTGGAAGTCATCTATGAGGTCACAAAACTTCATGAGAAACACAAGCAGCTCCTGATTTGTAATGTCAAGTTGGAAATACTAAAAAGCACATCAAAACCTAGATAAGATAGGAAATCAAAAAGGTAGATAAGCTATAATGCGTGCAAGTATAGTAATGCCTCTCAATAACTGTATTTTTTTAAGTAGGCTCTGTGCCTAACATGGGGCTCGAACTCATGACCCAGAGATCAAGAGTCACATGCTCTACTGATAGAACCAGCCAGGCACCCCCCATCAGTAACTTTAGATACAGAACTAGGAATTATCCCTAAGGAAGAAAGTGATCTGTTGTTTTCTGAAGACAGCAGCTTAATGAGCCACAGTCACACAAAATGTTGGGTACCATATCATAGTGAGCACTGGAAACAAAGCAAAATATATGGTCCTCTCAATAGACAAATCCACTGTAGACCTCCAGGATAACTTGTGTTCTGGTAGCAAAAATCTAGGAAGAAATAGAGGAGTCAGATGAAGTCCGAAAGAACTAACAAGTGTTACCACCATACAAACAGTGAGATTAAGACCCTTCAATCTGGGGATCCCTGGGTGGCGCAGCGGTTTGGCGCCTGCCTTTGGCCCAGGGCGCGATCCTGGAGACCCGGAATCGAGTCCCATATCAGGCTCCCGGTGCATGGAGCCTGCTTCTCCCTCTGCCTGTGTCTCTGCCCCTCTCTCTCTCTCTCTCCTCTCTGTGACTATCATAAATAAATAAATTCAAAAAAATTAAAAAAAAAATAAGACCCTTCAATCTGAGAGAGAAGAAGATTTAGAAAAGAAGGAGGATTCTCCAAATCCTGGGCACTGGTTTGGGCTTCCTTTAGGATCACAAGATTTCAGCTCATCTAACTTCACTTATGAAATCAACTGCACACAATGGCCACAGCAAAGGTTGTTCATATGTAACTACCTGGGGTTAGCCCAGGCTTAGCTGCAGCAGTGGAGACACAGAACCATAAGCCTCCCAATGCAGGAGTATCTGTGGTACTAGGACATGAGTAAATGTGATCCCTAACTGAAATTTGGAGAAATTGGAAATTATTTGAATTGTGGTTGTGGTGAATTGGGCTTCCAATTCCTTCTGCCAATGTTCAAAGACCGGTAGGAAGGGACCATTTGATCAGCAAACTAAGACACTGTAAAGTGGGAAGGGATCACTAACAAAAAGGCTGAGAAAATAAAATGAAAGAAATACTGGGCACTTAAAAGGAAAGCTTATAAACAAATATATCAGTGGGGGATTGTATGGTGCAGAGACTCCGTCCATAGTCACTAAGCTGGACTAAGTGATGGTAGGAAGGGCAGTAAGCTGCCAGTCAGGTGTAGAAGGTACAGTTCTGGCTTTGTCACCAGTCAAAGGAACTGTGGGAGTTCATACAAGTCATTTTTATCACCCCAGGTCTTAGTTTTCCCATCTATGAATGAGAGATTGAACTAGTCCTTAAAATGCGAATATTCTCTGATTTAGTTGGATGCCAAAAGGATTAAAATTCTTAATTCAAAACATCACCTGCCTTTGAAACCAAGACTGTACCAGTGATTAGGGGTCCTGTGTAATCAAAAATAGCAAAACCAAGGTTTCCTGTAATTTTGGGTTCATTTCGCTTTCAGGAGCAAAGGACTCAGGGGTGCACAGTCCTTCCTCAAATTAAGTGGGGATCTACTTTACCCCAAGGAGAGGCAGTAATGGTGGTTGCATTTTGTGAAAGTTTGGCTGCTGTGGAGAAGCAATTGAAGAGTTCAAATTTATTGGTCACACAGGCAAGATTTTCACGTGTGGTTTATTTCACTGGTATTTCAGCTATGCGGTTAGCACTTAAGTTTTGATTTTAGTACTTATTTACATTCATGTGCACTGAGCCTAAGAATAGCATCTTTTAAATGAAACTCTCTGCATATTTAGCTAGATATGGGAAGGTTGCACAGAACGCATTTCCTGTTAAATAATTGTGACTTTTGACCGTTATTCTTGCTTCTCCCATTCTCCCTTTCTTCACTCTGTTTTCCTTGATGTCTTTTTTTTTTCTTAAAGAAACATAACAGAGGTGCAATGCAATAGTTATTCCTTTGCTACAACAGCCTCATATAGTGGAATTAAATAACGAATGCTCTTGAGCCCCTTCTTTTACAGATATGGATGTAGAGGCCCAGACACGGGAAGGAATTCATCCAAGGCCAGAGTGGCTGCAAGTTGAATGATTGCTCCATTCCACCAAGCAGCCTCTCATGGATGCTATATAAATAAAGCCTTTGGAGCTTAAGTGTTGGACAATGGAGAGAAGGGCACTCACAAATGAGGGGGTCCTTCAAATACACGACAAAGGCATTTGGGGAACAAAGGCCATTGAGTAGAACCGAAGAGTAGTGGGATGCCTGGGTGGCTTGGTGGTTGAATGTCTAACTTCAGATCAGGGCGTGATCCCACATGGGGCTCCCCGCAGGGAGCCTGCTTCTCCCTCTGCCTATGTCTCTGCTTCTCCTTGTGTGTCTTTCATTAATAAATAAAATATTTTTTAAAAAAACAGAACGAAAAGTAGCTACTCCATAAAACTATACTTAGGACTCAAACTGAGGCAACTGACTGAACATTCATTCTTTAGTGTCCTCAGAAGTAAAACAAGCCTGTGTGTGTGTGTGTGTGTGTGTGTGTATGAGAGAGAGAGAGAGAGAGAGAGAGAGAGACATGGGGTTGGGGGAGAGACTGAGTAATACACTTTCACTGCATTCCTTCTGTGTCGGATGTAGAATTGAATGTGCTTAAGAATCACAAACATCCTGTTCTCTTCCCCTAGCTCTTCTCGTTAGCCAGAATCTCATCTCAACCTACCTTGCTTTGCACCATTAACCTTTGC